GGAATTTTGTAAAAAGCAGCATTAAGCCCAATTCGATAATGTTCCCCACTAAAACGCTGAAAGCCCATTTCTGTGATCTTGCAGGAATGTTGCTGACTTGAGCTGAAACCCCAATACCTGAAAGCAGAAATCTACTTACACTTCAATCCAATGATCTTGCCAGAATACTGCTGAAAGCATTTACTTCAATTAACTAACAAAGAACAAAAGACAATGTAAACTGGTATAAATATTTAATAACAGAATCATATATACATATAAAAGTCTTGTAAGAAAATTACATACAACGTCAAGACGCTTTATGGCAAACGTAATATAGCCAGGAGCACAAGGTCCATAAGCTGAGGAACAAAACGATAACAATATGACCATGCGATGCAAGCACTAAAACAGGTTGCCACCTCTCTGAAACATGTACAGACAGGCGAGACTATACCAACATTACCATACTAATATCCAGACAACTTATTGCTCTGAAATCACGACTTGAAAACAACAACATTCCGTACTCAAAATGGAAAGGGGAATATTTTAAAACATGAATAAAATATGGTGCACTTGTGAAAGCTTGTGAGCATCAAACTTGGGATTGGAGTAACAGCTGTTTTATGTTATGCTACCATAGTTAACAAGAATATAATAGATGTACTTTGTTGAGAGATAAAAGGTCAACTCCCATTAAGTTGGTTAACAAGTTGAGAGCTGAAAGTTTCTACTTATCCTGTGTGCCACTTATCCGACAACTTTCACCAGTTACTATAACTTACATCTACCACCGGGCAGTTTTCAGATCAATTTCCTTTGTCAATACAAATATTGATTGAGGAAATGTAATACTTATTTGTATTTTGCAATTACACGATTTTAGCTATGTGGTTTTGGATCGAGATAACAGGGGATACAATGAGCACAAAACAGAAAACCCATATCTTTTCTAGTTATCTGATTTCTCTACAAGATCTGACTGTATATGAGATCCGAGTAGTGTAAACGACTCATTTGAACCCTCTCCAGCCTCCTTGTACATGGTTGTACTATACTACCCAATACAACTGAAGGACCACCTGATTCCGACGTCATACACTAGTTATCAACCATGACAGATTGACTGAAGTGATATGCAAGGCCATAACTGAGTAGTTCATCTAACTTTAACAGGTTATATTTAGGAGATAAACATCATGTGTTGACGAATTTCCGGGTGTTATTGAGTATTTGAAGCACAGGAATTCATTTGGAACCGACGGCGTCAGCCAGAGGTTTCAAATGAAATATTCCCGTGCTTCAAATACTCAATAACACCCGGAAATTTGTCAACACATGATGTTTATCGACATTGTAAACACAAAAGTAAACCGAAAGGTCCCCACACGTTTTTTGTGTCTGCTCTCATTGACATCGAGTACGGGTAACAGCAGTGAAATGTCATCAGTCAGCCGTTTCGGCTGTCTCCCATGGTAGCATCTGGAACTGCTCATTTGTGACGTCATTCGGACTTTAGGTCACAATATGATTTTAATGACGTCATCACAGCTGACGACGTAACAATACAATGGTGTGAACGATGTTTGTATGTATTAATACGCAGAGAATTTCCGGGAATCAAATACCATTTGATCACGTTTTTCAACCAATCAGATAAAAGAACACAGTGACTTTTGGTTTACAATCAGGATTACACTTTCTCAGTTAAGTACAGATTCTAGTACTGTCGTTGGGTTGAGTCCCATCCTGGATTCGAACCCACACTCTCAAAGTCAGACTCCTAATAGCTAGCATACAAAACCTCATGCAGTAGTTATCTCAAGACAAGCCTCTTAAATTAAACATCATATGTACATATGGCCAACTATGACAGTCATTGTGGCCATAGTAATTACCAGTAATGCCATCTGTAGAGTACCAGAGAGACTTTACATGCTGAAATAACAATGAATAAATAGGATTCAGTCGAATTAATTCAATTAGTTTCCATGGTTTCACCATCAAAGTAATCACCAGCACACAAAGTCAGCCATCTAACCCACTCTGCCACCTCAGCCTCTATTAACCCCAAAAATATTCAATGGCTGGTTCTTAAATAATCCCAGAAGCAGGAACCAACATATATTGACTGGTAAACATCAACAGAAAGACCATGTTCAGCACAAAAAACACCACTTTCAGACAATAATCATCATCTTGCCATGAAATAATGATGAATACAGCATCATCTCCTCTCATGAGTAATATGTCTCCATACAGAGGATAATGTTATTATTCCTGTAACAGGACCATCAGTCTCGAACTGTTCAACTAGGGCATTTCCAACACTGTCCTCAGCGAAAGGTTCAACATGGACAATTTGTTTATAGTTAGGTTAAAAATATCATGTTTCAAAATAGTTACAAGCAATTCTTGTATAACAAGGGTTGGTTCCCACGGTAAAACATCAAATACAAATATATCATGTTTATCACTGTATTCCAATGGATTAGGATATTGTGTACATGACTGAGATTGATGGTGAAGTCAAACATGCGACTGACACCCAAGTTGTTATAAAAAGTGTTCCCTTCACTCTCCAGATCCAGTATGCACATGGTCACTTCCTGAAGGAGGAAGTTTCACAGAAAGACAGACTTTCCACATTAACAGGGTTTCAGTGTATGCAGGGTCTAGATCTGTAAATATGTAATTTCTTTTTATGAGTCATACAACCAGATCTGTAACAAAATATATTACAAATATATCACAGTACAATGTGCCTAACATCACATCTCCCTTGGTATTGATGATCATTAAATCAGGGGAACTTGAACATACAAAGCTGTCTCTACTGTCACTAACTTTTCTGATTATATGCATATTAAAAACACTCCCACCTGTCACTGTTGCAACTTTATCAGATCATGAACTGTCTGACCGGATATTTCTTTGTCATAAAAAAACCTGACCATTTGAATTCAAAACATGATTTTTTAAACAAAAGGTATTGTATTCCTCTGTTACATGAACTCAAGAATACATTCATAGGATGCGACTATGGAATCATACACTACATCAACGATGTATTCAGCAACGTCATTACGTCATGACTTAAGTCCAAAATTGTCAAACCATCTACATCATACCAAATAAAACAAGCACAGGATCATATATACTTTGGGACAAATCTTTGCGCACACTATTTCATATAAATGTCCCCTAAAAATTAATGTTCCCCAACATTTTTTGTACATTATTTAATGGCTAGCACAATCAAAGCCACAGATCATCCCAATAAACATAACCATCAAACAACAAACATCTGTTAAATATGCAAATGAGGTTTCTTAGCAAGTACTTCACTAAGCTCCGTACACTGATACCTACTAGCTCGGTACACCACTGTACAAGGAGATCTGAGAAGAGGCTTCGCTTCTGTTTCAACATGGTGAACACACAACATCAGTTGGCACCACAGAATATATTGTGCGTTCACTCCAGCATTGTACTTGTTTTCTAAACAAGTACGGTGAATGTAATTACACGTTAAACATTGATTATTTTAAGAATATAATTATTTGATACAGAGATTATTCAACTGTTTCTGCATCATTAATGTAACGTGTTACAAATACTAAAATGATAAAACAAGCCCTTGCCAATATCACAAGCCATGTATTAGCATCTACTGTGTAAACTATTCATACTATGTGTTGGAACTAGGCCAGCAGGTGGTGTCTCACACAACACACAATAGGGCTGTACCAGTCCATATACACTGCCTGGTACCTGCCATTAACAGGTCTTTACAATTACATCTGTCAATTTCATTAATCATGTTCAGTTAATGATAAACACAGGAATAATGCATGCTTTCTCTTAAAAATATCCCACAACCATGTATTGCGGGAAATAACCATTTTGTATATTGTTACTGCCATTGTACAATATCTTCTGTAGCTTCCTGAGGCAGGGGAGGTAACTGTGAGAGTCTGGTTTCCACCCTTGCTGAAGGTGGGTGGAATTTCCTTGCTCTGCCATCAAGCCACAAGTGGTTATTTAGAGATCTGCTCTCCTATTGACCAATCAGTTTCCAAAGTCAAGACTATCTCATTGTTAATCAAGATGACTATTGCACTTTACTTCACAGAGAGCACCACATCACTTGAGCACCCTGATAAAAAACATGAAAAGGTTTGGAAAATACCTGTTGATGCACAATTGCTAGTACACATGCCAGACACTGCACTGGAATATTGTTTAGGAACCAAATGTTGATTTCACTACATGATTTTGATTGGACTATGGACAGACTTATTAGTCTAGCCAAACTATAGCTCTCAAATACCAGCATGGGTTACAGGATTTTAAACGTGAGTTACCTCCCTTGCCTAGGGAAGATGTATCTGATGTGATTAACCAGCCAGAGATACCCGCCCCAGACCTCATGCACAATTTACTAACACAAATAGGTGTATGTTTTGATGATGATTTGAACAGGTTGTCCACAGTGCTGGTTGCATATATCTTCTATCATATAATACAGAAAAGTATTACATGGAATACTGTGTAATTCTAACATTGGCCATCTCAACATCACTGCTGCATGATGGAAGTACTGCTGCCAGTTGGTGTGTCAGCCATTTCTAGTGTACATGAACAACTGTGTATTGAATCATTGGTGTATTGGTTGTTTTGTGTTACACGTTTGTGTACTGGATGTGTATGTATGTGGTGGTTTTGTGTATTGGATGTACATATAATGTATGCTTGCAGTGATGAATGCATGCATGTGTCTGTCCGTATTGATGGATGAATATGTGTCTGTCTGTAGTGATGGATGAATGTATGTGTCTGTCTGTAGTGATGGATGAATGTATGTGTCTGTCTGTAGTGATGGATGAATGTATGTGTCTGTCTGTAGTGATGGATGAATGTATGTGTCTGTAGTGATGGATGAATGTATGTGTCTGTCTGTAGTGATGGATGAATGTATGTGTCTGTCTGTAGCGATGGATGAATGTATGTGTCTGTAGTGATGGATGAATGTATGTGTCTGTCTGTAGTGATGGATGAATGTATGTGTCCGTCTGTAGCGATGGATGAATGTATGTGTCTGTTCATCCTTCCAGATACAGCTCCTCCAGCAGATCGTCAATCAGCTTCAGCCTCTCATTAGCCTCCTGCATCTCGCTGTACGTCCGTATGAAGTTGGTGATGTAGAAGCGCACCTCATCGATGATGTCGATGGTGTCCGTCTCGTGGCGCTCCTGGAGGTTGGCTGCATCCTCCTTCACTAGTTTGATGAAGTCGTCCTGGGCAATCACCTGGGAGACACAAGGGTGGAGCATTATCATACCTTGCCTTGTGGAAGGTATAGGTCTCTTTTACACTAGCTACATTGGGTTGGGAATGATAGTCTAGTTCTTAGAGTGGCCACCATATAGTGATGGTCTCAGCTGTCAATGGCTGCAACTTCTAAATGGCTTTGGGGCGGTGGGGTAGCCTAATGGTTAAAGCGTTGGCTCGTCACGCCGAAGACCCGGGTTCGAATCCCCACATGGGCACAATGTGTGAAGCCCATTTCTGGTGTCCCCCGCCGTGATGTTGCTGGAACATTGCTAAAAGCGGCGTAAAACCAAACTCAGTCAGTCAGTCTAAATGGTTTTACTCTGTATACTTTCTAAAAATGTGCACCTTATGATACAATAACATGCCAGATTGATAAATACTAAAATATAATTATTTAACATTTCTGTTATTACTTCACGTCAATTAAGTACAAATATACGCATTGTAAATGAATTGTTTGTACTTTATATACATATTCTGTTATCTGGAACCAGAAGTCTGTTAAGGGGTCTGACATAAGTTTGAAGTCCAGTTATGAAACACATACGATAGAAATTGCTTGGCTAGCTAATCAAATGAAGCTAACTCATTTGCAATTTATTTGCTGATTTGCAGCAGCATAATAACAGTTTTTGAAAATGTAACAGTACCATCACACAAATATGAAATAATGATTTATCATTTCTTGTGAAAAGATTCTTTCAGTTCAATCGGAAATTTCTTTGTTTGTAGTTTAACACAACACACAGCAGTATTCCAGGTATATGGCATCGGTCTGTGAATAGTCAGGTGTGGACAAGACATTCCAGTGATTGACTCACAACAGATACGATGTATCAACTAAGTCAGTGAACCTGACCACCCGATCACCTCTAACAACAAGCATTGGTTGTTGAACGACATTGGTTGCTGAACACCAAACACAGGGGAGTCCAAAAATGATCAAAAACCCCAATTTTTAGTTTTGCCAGTTCACTTTTGGAAGACCACAGGTACAACTTGTCACTGAATTCAGTATCACACAAAACCCATTTCTAGCTCATAATTATGACTATGTAAATTAGGAAGTACTTGATAGTTGTCATAACCAGTAACCAACTTTGGATGTGTGATCAGGGTGTGGTTGCAAGGAGACTTGTAAGACATTTTGCAGAAATTCTGCTAAAATACACACAATGAGCAATTGTCTGGTCAAATATGAAATATTTCAAAACACAAAACCATGGCAGTGTGTGGTCCTGTGAGTAGAGCTCAGGTCACAATCAGTTGAAGTTAAGCAACGTTGGTCGCGGACAGTCCTCAGATGGGTGACCGTGTTTGGCAGCTTGACTGCTGAAAGTTTCTAAGACTTCAGTCCTGCCCCACAACGAAGCACATGTGACACATGTGGTCTCACCTTAGGCAAGTGAGTTTGTTCAAAATTGCCTCTGTCCACCCAGCAGTAAAATTAGGTACCTGGTATGATACGATGGTAGTCTGAATTTGAACCTTGAGCGCCTGACAGGCAACCGGTTGTATTCTCCACATGGAGTGTTCTGTACTCGTTGGCCAGGGGTAATATGCCAGCTCTTTGAGCATGCATTGTGCATGGACAAACGCTCAATATAAATGGACTATTATTATTATTATTATTATAAACACAAAAACACTCAAAATCCAACTGAACTCACCTCTTCTAAATTTTCTGCTATAAACTCTGCACACTCATTTTCTAGCTTCCGTAAACTGAAGAGCCTGGAGGTCCTGAGAATTGTGATTATGTTGTTGATGTCGATGTAATCGCTCATGCAGTTGGCACAGAGTCTCTTCAGCCCGGGTAACATGTAGAGATCAGCTACACACAGGATTTCGTACACGTTCTCCGCTGACAGCTGGAACAGGGAGGGAGGGACTATTCAGGATACCACAGATACACTTTACCACGAGACACTTAACACAGCTACTGAGACATGAAGATGGTGAAACATTAAGAAATATGTGTTGTATCAAATGTCATTGAAGGAGTTGTAGCTGTAGAAGTATTAGTCATGACGTAGTTCTAGCAGCTGTGTAGTGTCTCTACTGGTACATAATTACATTGACCTCATGCCTGGCGTTTACCTCACAGACATCCTGGTACACGTACTGCACCACTCGGTCGAACACTTCCGGCGTGATGTCGTGCAATGTCACTACTGGTATGTCAGTGTTCCCATGGAGAGTTGTCTCCCCAAAGTGATCCTCTATCAGGGCCTTGAAGTAGTCGCTGCGTCCACTCAGAAACACCTGCATCACATACATCACATTAAATCATGGGACTTAATATCTTTAAAATACACAACTCAAGGTTACCATGGTTACTGGGGACCTCCTCTACCCTTTTCCTCCTCCATGTTAAGAAAGCTACCCACCTTGTGACACATAAACATCAGACCCTCCACTGAGAAGCAGACGTCAGGGTAGATCTGGGAAAGGTCAGGGTCAAACGGCAGCTCTCCTACAACCTACAGACAAAATGTAGCTTTGATTTATTTCGGCAAACATTGTATTGTGAGTGTGAGTGAGTGGGAGGATATTTATTGAATTCGGGAATTTAAACTGTTGTCTGCTGTAGACTTGGAGCAGGTGTGGATCAGTCCCTGTATGCGTACCAGTTTGTTGAGTTGCACCGGTAGAGCCCTGTCCCCCAGAATGCCGAGGTCCATCTGGAGTTCCATGGAGTCCAGGGACGGCTCGATCACCAGCGACGTCACCTTCAGGCCGGGCTTCATGGACACTGGAAGTACATACAGCACAATGTCATACACTCAACAACCAACATGGAGAAAGGAGAAGTTCACAAACATTGCAATAAATCCTCTCTTACAACTGCAAGTCACAGACGTCATGTATAAAAGGAGATGGGTCCAACTCAGCAAAACAAATGTAAAGACTGTACTGATACAAACTGACAGACACTGCTAAACTGTATTTTTCTGCTCAGTACTACTGCCACCTTACATTCCTGCCATGGGACAAGTAACACATCACATGATCACATTGTCTAACTACATACTGATCCGCAACAGTCATGAATCACAATACATATCAGAGAGAGTCATTGCCACAAGCTTGTCAGTCTAAAACCTGTACGATCTAAATAAACAACAAGCTATTTTACATAAACACTTGCTGTGGACTACTGTGACCAATGTTGTCTGCCCCTGCATAAAGTACTGTGAATCAAATATCACATGTATAATTACGAAAGTTTGAAATATTACAGCCATGGTAAGATCTTTAATGTTTAACTATATATCATGCAAAGCAATCAGTCAGGGCATTATAGATGTAATGACAGACATTGACAAAATGGTCATGCATACTCACAAAATGATGCATCTTTCTCCATCCTGTCTTCAATCTGTTCAATGAGGCAGTTTAGGTGACACTGTTTGGCTACCATCACACACTCGTGTATCATGTCGACATGGGCCTGTAGTCGACCTGCAGACAACAACACGTACCATGAAACACATGAAGGGTGGCTGGGATTTCTTACCTTAACTATCAAGGACACATGGAACATCCTTAACACTCAGGATTTTGGGGACCAAATATGCAAGCAGGCACACATTTCTACATGCATCAAAGTGACTCGGTATTCTCTGTTGATGAAAACAGACAAAAATGGCTACTGCGCTGTCATCAAGTAGCACCAGGGATGAGTGAGTGAGTGCTTTTTGGTTTTATGCCGCTTTATTCCCAATATTAGCAATATTCAAGCACCAGACAATATCACCAGCAATATTACAGCACCAGACACTAGCAATATCACAGCACCAGACACCAGCAATATCACAGCACCAGACACCAGCAATATCACAGCACCAGACACCAGTAATGGGCTTCACACATTGCACCCAGGTAGGGAATCAAACACGGGTCTTCGGCGTGACGAGCGAACGCTTTAACCATTAGGCTAGCTCACCACGAATCAAGTAACACTAAATAACAAGGCAACTGTAGCAGTCATCAGAGGTGTCAGTGCCCTTTTCCTTTTATTTAAAGGATTGCAGCAAAGTTCAAGAGGGGAAGAAACAGCCTTGAGGATGTTCAAACACTGGGAACAAATTGATAAATATGTATGACTGATGATTGATCACTCAACAGAGAGTTGAGAACATTCTGATGAATGACAAAGGGAACAGTAGGCTGGGTTGCCATAGTTGTGAATCCTGATCAGAAACACTTCAGGTTAATCACCTCCAGTAAGAACTTACATTGCTTTGAAGGTGACTTAACTGATTTTCTTCAGTGATTTCTTCTGTGGGTGAATCTTAGGTTCATCATTATCAGCCACAGAATGAAAAACAGATGACATCAAATGTTTCCTCATGAGGAGAAGGCAAAATCTTTTCATTCTCCTGGTAAGGTGATGGCTTTTGCTTTTTTGAATTCCAAAGAAATCCTACTCATGTTCAAAAAGTGTGTTGTTCAACCAGGAAAATGCACCCTTGTAAAAGGCGATTGTCACCATGGCTGCAATACATTGCTGTGAGTAAAACTCAAAGAGCTCCATATTGAATGGTTTTGGTACTGACAGATTTCCACGTCAGCTAAACTTGAAGAAAGAGTGTATGGCAAGCAATATGAAAATGATGATGAAGTTGCTTCTGGTGTAGAGGACTTCTTAAAGTTACACCTCCTTGAACAGCCTTCCACCCCAGCGTGATCTAGGCACTCCAACATGGTTGACAGTGTCACAGACTCACAAATGTACACCAATTGTTTATATACCATATCCAGCAGTTAACATGATTGTGATGACAACTTGAAATTATTTCATTTTATATGTGAATTGAAATCTGAACCATTACAGCATGTTCTGGGATAAGTTCTGGTCAAGAGGAAGCCCAAACAGGAGAAGACCACCTATAATACAGCAGTGGTTCCTTACCGAGTATTTCTTTACAAACAAACCATTGTAATCTTACCATAATAGATGTAGTCCAGGACAGCTCCAAATGCAGCAGGGGACACCTGCAATGCAATGCAAGTAATATCAGACAGTGGTCCATAGAAGTATCCCTCAGTTGTAGACAACATCATAGTATATAGTACATAGCCCTGTAGGTCTCAGTGAGTGGGTGAAGCAGGGCAGGATGGAGTACCTTGTGTAGAGTGGAGTGGAGGGAGGGAGCAGTTGAGAGTGGAGTGGAGTGGAGCGGAATTTGGTGTAGTTTTGAGTAGTTTGCTGGAGTGGAGAGGAGAGTACCTTGGTAGAGAGGAGTGGAGTGAATTATATTGAGATATCTCAGAGGATCTTTTCTCACCAAGATAGTCAGCATGGTCATCTGCTGTATTTAGCAACATACTGGCATAATCACTGAGGGGGCAATGGGCTTCACACATTGTACTCATGAGTGGAATCAAACCTAGGTCTTTGGTGGGACGAGCAACCAAATTAACCATGTTAACCACTAAGCTTCTCGAAGCTTGTTTAAATCAAGCTACTCGAAGCTGGCACAATCTTAATTGTGCAATTTTATTTCTTTCATCATAAAACCCATACTTCTATGATCCTAGTGATTTACTGACACATGAGTAGACACTATTCACATTATTCTGATTGTCAAATATAACTCAGAATGATAAGACTGAATAAATAATCAATTATGAAATATACATAAATACATTTATATTTGTGCCCCACTATCACAAACCCTGCCTCACATTATCTTTCTATAGCCACGTATCTACAAATGACGAAAATAGCTACGTGTGTTCCGGTCTTTCGTTACTAAAAATGCACCATAACCATACTCTACAATATGTAAAAAACATTCATGCTCCCTGTGGGGTCGGTGGGGTAGCCTTGAGGTTAAAGTGTTTGTTTGTCATGCCGAAGACCTGGGTTTGATTCCCCACATGGGTACAATGTGTGAAGACCATGTCTGGTGTCACTGTCGTGATATTCCTGAAATATTGCTAAAAGTGGCGTAAAACTAAACTCACTCACTCATTCTCCCTGTGGTCCGAATAAGTAAATAAGTAAGTAAGTAGGTAGGTAGGTAAGATACGAACGAACCAACGAACGAACCAACGAACGAACCGAACGAATGTATAACTGATCAGTCTGAGATTCAGACTGGAATACAAACCAGGCTATGCTTCAGCTCCACTTCTTGACGATCTCGCCATCGTGTTTTGAACAACTCGGCAAAGTAGCTACATCGAACACTGAGTATACATCGATGTACAGGAAACTTCACACCGTCCACCACAAACACCACATCATGGTAGGCAGCCCCCTCTCGAATCCTGCAGCACACAACCAGTCAATCAATCAATCTTTATTTCATACTGAAAGGCCACAGGCCTGTAGTACATTGTTTAATCATGTGCGGGTAGTAGAACATTCTTTCGGAGAATAAAAGCTTTATGGATATATATGGACAATCTTTCTATATGTGTTTTACTGGAATTATTCATCAATGATATAAACTTATGCATTTCAGGATGTACATAATAATATTTCTTTATTTATCTATTTCTTAACGCTAAGTATGCTGGGCAAACACATAAAAAGTGAAACTCATCTTCGACCTCGTGTAAGTTGCACATTTGGCAGATTCTCCTTTCTTTCTCAATACCTTGGTATCTCCCAGTTTCAACATATAAATCATGCTGAGCAGCGGAATCTCGCTAATGAAGATTTATATTTCCTTATGGTCAAGACTGAAAGATAATGTTCTGCATATATGGAATCTTTTATCATTTTGTAGTAAAACATTTATTAGATAATGAGAGACTAGTTAACCAATTTTGAAGGAATATATCTTTAAGTCTTTGTTTAACTGTACAGACAAAGTGAGAATGAGATTCTACAAATTGTTCATGCCAGGCATTGCCGAAGCCGATAGATGATAATAACTGTTTTATGTCTGTTACCCAATTACGTTTCCCATGGCTATCATATAGTATCATCATTTCATAACATTTTCTTGGCAATCTGTGTGAGGGCATTGTTAATAATTTCAACCAATATCTAATAATTTTTACATTTGATTCTATGTACAATGGATATCTTCCACATTCTCCGTAGACCATACAAGTTGACGTGGCTGTTTTACCAGAAATTTCTTGCATGCATACAAATTGACTTTTTCTATGACATCAAAAGTTTTAAAACCCCCATACTTCTGCACCATATAACAAAATTGGGTATATTTTGGCATCAAATATTTTGAAAAAAAGACTTGTAAGACAAGTCACCTAAAATATGTATATATTTTATTATACCTATTAATATTTTCTTTGCTTGTATAGCTGCCTGTGATGTGTGTACTGCCCATGAAAGATGATTGGTAAAATGCACTTCTAAGTATTTATACTGAAGTGGTTGTTTCCAGTCTATTTCCCTTGAAGAACCATTTTTCATTATTGGTTAGCTTACCTCCATTTTAAAACAACTATCTTTGTTTTAGCCTGGTTTACAGTTAGTTTCCATTTATCACAATAATTCTCTAGTTCAATAATTTCTCTTTGTAGGCCTTTAATTGTGCTGGGAAACAATATGATGTCATCGGCAAATAGTAACAGGAATATTTGCATTATATCTGGATGTAATTGGATACCGTTTGAACAGTTTTCTTGGATTTGGGTTGCTAGTTCATTTATGAAAAATGTAAATAGAAAAGGGCTTAATATACAGCCTTGTCTGACTCCAAATTGGCTCGGAAATGTATCTGATAATTCATTATTACTCCTTACACAAATTTTCACATTTGCATATATGCTCCGCAGTAATTTTCCCATTTTGCGACTGACACCATGCATGGGTTGTTAGGGATGTCCTCTGTAGGCTGGGTAGTCAACTTTTCCCAAGATGGGTATATATATTCTAGAAAGTTTAAATCTTACTGTCCAATTAAAAAAAATGAGGTATTGAGTGAATATCTAACTTACATGACTATTGCAACATAAAGGGAACACATTGGCCTGAACCCGTGAAGGGTTAGAATGAGCCTTCAGTAACCCATGCTTGTCGTAAGAGGCGACTAACAGGATTGGGTGGTCAGGCTCGCTGGCACATGTCATCTGTTCCCAATTGCGCAGATCGATGCTCATGCTGTTGATCACTGGATTGCCTGGTCCAGACTCGATTATTTACAGACTGCCTCCATATAGCTGGAATATTGCTGAGTGTGGCGTAAAACTAAACTCACTCACTTTAAATCAAAGGAAAAGGGCATTGACACCTCTGATGACTGTTACAGTTGCCTTGTTATTTAGTGTTACTTGATGCGTGGTGAGCTAGCCTAATGGTTAAAGTGATTGCTCGTCACGCTGAGTGCGGCGTAAAACTAAACTCACTCACTCACTCACTCATTGGCCTGAAATCATATACACTGAATACTCTGTAAGTCATCAGCAAGTCATCACATGTCGTTGGATACTGACTGAGGTCTGGCAACAAAGAGTCCTGTTTTGGTAGACTGCAGCACTCCAGGTGATCGTGAAGGACAGTTCAGGAGGAGGTACAGATGGATACTTACTTTCGTAGACATTCCTCGTACATATCTCGCCGTATAGTTCTGGAGGAGGTACAGATGGATACTTTCTTTCGTAGACATTCCTCGTACATATCTCGCCGTATAGTTCAGGAGGAGGTACAGATGGATACTTACTTTCGTAGACATTCCTCGTACATGTCTCGCCGTATAGTTCAGGAGGAGGTACAGATGGATACTTACTTTCGTAGACATTCCTCGTACATATCTCGCCGTATAGTTCTGGAGGAGGTACAGATGGATACTTACTTATTATATATCTGAGACATTCCTCGCATATCATATCTCACGTGATAGTTCAGGAGGAGGTACAGATGGATACTTACTTTGAGACATTCCTCGCATATCTCACAGATATAGTTCAGGAGGAGGTACAGATGGATACTTACTTTTTTCTCGTGAGACATTCCTCGCATATATCATCACGCCCGATAGTTCAGGAGGAGGTACAGATGGATACTTTACTTTCTCAGAGACATTCCTCGTACATATCTCGCACAGATAGTTCAGGAGGAGGTACAGATGGATACTTACTGTGAGACATTCCTCGCATATCCTCACCAGATAGTTCTGGAGGAGGTACAGATGGATACTTACTGTGAGACATTCCTCGCATATATCTCACCAGATAGTTCAGGAGGAGGTACAGATGGATACTTACTGTCAGAGACATTCCTCGCATATATCTCACAGATAGTTCTGAGGAGGTACAGATGGATACTTACTTTCGTGAGACATTCCTCGCATATCTCACCAGATAGTTCAGGAGGAGGTACAGATGGATACTTACTGTAGACATTCCTCGCATATATCTCACGTATATAGTTCTGGAGGAGGTACAGATGGATACTTACTTTCGTAGACATTCCTCGTACATATCTCGCCGTATAGTTCAGGAGGAGGTACAGATGGATACTTACTTTCGTAGACATTCCTCGTACATATCTCGCCGTATAGTTCAGGAGGAGGTACAGATGGATACTTACTTTCAGAGACATTCCTCGCATATATCTCACGATAGTTCAGGAGGAGGTACAGATGGATACTTACTGTGAGACATTCCTCGCATATATATCTCACAGATAGTTCTGGAGGAGGTACAGATGGATACTTACTTTCAGTAGACATTCCTCGCATATATCTCACAGATAGTTCAGGAGGAGGTACAGATGGATACTTACTTTCTCAGAGACATTCCTCGCATATATCTCACAGATAGTTCAGGAGGAGGTACAGATGGATACTTACTTTCAGACATTCCTCGCACATATCTCACCGTGATAGTTCAGGAGGAGGTACAGATGGATACTTACTTTCAGAGACATTCCTCGCATATATCTCACAGATAGTTCAGGAGGAGGTACAGATGGATACTTACTTTCAGAGACATTCCTCATTACATATCTCACAGATAGTTCAGGAGGAGGTACAGATGGATACTTACTGTAGACATTCCTCGCATTATCTCACCAGTATAGTTCAGGAGGAGGTACAGATGGATACTTATTTTAAATCAGACATTCCTCGCATTATATATATCTCACAGATAGTTCTGGAGGAGGTACAGATGGATACTTACTTTCGTAGACATTCCTCGCATATCCTCAGTATAGTTCTGGAGGAGGTACAGATGGATACTTTACTGTGAGACATTCCTCGCATACATATCTCGCCCAGTATAGTTCTGGAGGAGGTACAGATGGATACTTACTTTCAGAGACATTCCTCGCATATCCTCACGTGATAGATCAGGAGGAGGTACAGATGGATACTTACTTTTACTGTGAGACATTCCTCGCATATATCTCACAGATAGATCAGGAGGAGGTACAGATGGATACTTACTTTCTCAGTAGACATTCCTCGCACATATCTCACAGATAGTTCTGAGGAGGTACAGATGGATACTTACTGTGACATTCCTCGCGTACATATCTCACCCATGATAGTTCTGGAGGAGGTACAGATGGATACTTACTTTGTGAGACATTCCTGCATTACATATCTCACCAGATAGATCAGGAGGAGGTACAGATGGATATTTACTGTAGACATTCCTCATTACATATCTCACCCAGATAGTTCAGGAGGAGGTACAGATGGATACTTACTTCTGAGACATTCCTCGCATATATCTCACAGATAGATCAGGAGGAGGTACAGATGGATACTTACTTTCGTAGACATTCCTCGTACATATCTCGCCGTATAGTTCTGGAGGAGGTACAGATGGATATTTACTGTCGTAGACATTCCTCGTATATATCTCGCCGTGTATAGTTCAGGAGGAGGTACAGATGGATACTTACTTTCGTAGACATTCCTCGTACATATCTCGCCGTATAGTTCTGGAGGAGATGACTCTGAACTTCTTGAGGATGGACCTGATCTCATCAGTCAGGGCGTCATAAAGACAACGCTCTCCATCAAATGTGTTAGCTTCACACTTGGCACCTGTAAACCGATACAACATTAGCTTGTATATAAAAGTACATACTCTACACGTGAAGCATAAAGTTGTGTCATTCTGTATCCAACTAATAATGTCAATGCTACAACAAAAGGCAATGATCAGATGCATTACCCAAACATATCTAAAAGTAGCACCATACAATGACATGCGTAATATATCAGAAAAGTAGCAGTGTGCATGTTCCACATGGGAAACTATAGACGCAGGGAAGTCTCAGTTGACAAAATCACCTGTAGTGGTTAGAACACCTACCCGCCGAGAGGAAAGTCGCGGGTTCGATGCCCGGCCACGTCATACCAAAAGATGTTAAAATATGGCACATTTTGGTCCTTGCCTGGTGCTCGGCATTAATGGGTATAACAAGGACTTGAGTATCAGACTTGGTATCAGTATTGTCTGTACGTCACATGTTATGACTGCCTAGGGTGGCTGAGCCATTTGATGCAAATATGTAGAACCGCAGCAATTCCAGGATTGCAAAAGATATACAGTGTATATGAGCAGATAACAGTGTATGAAATAAGGACTGTCCGACTGCCCAAGACGGGCTAGATTTCTGACGGATGTTCTAAATTTACACCTAGTCAGCCCGGTGGTCTGGTAAAATTGTTAGATAACATGTTCCATACATCTGAGTAAATTCACTATATCTTAATATCTATTTTTCAAATTGAGCATTACATTTAGACTTGACAATTACTGGTTAAACTATCATATCACAAGCTCAAAGCTCTGCATTGACATATATTATCACTAAAACAGTAACTAAACAATAACTAAAAATGCCAACTGTTGTGATTTTAACTTCTAAACTTTAAAGGTTTGTGCAGTGACAATGTCACCTGAGGTTGAAAATGTCCCTCGGTATGTAAAGGTATGTAAAGGTATTCCAAGTATTATGGTGTCATCTGCCATTGTTGTACCATACCAGATGTAGGCAGACTGCATCATTCATTCGCATGCCTTAATACAGATTTTGCTGACAAGTTCTAAAAGTGCTTAACTATATCAATTTGCTATCTTCCAGCACCAAAGTGGGTCTGGGAAATTTTCAAAATTAATTACATGTTTTTATGACAAATCTATTTTGCAATTAAACCGTTTGTAATGAGTACTCTCAGTAATTTAATAATCTGTTACCACACCTAGTTGCAAAATGACATATGGAAAATGCCAAAGGTCCTTGTTAGTTTGGCCAGTTTTTATGTACTGGAGAAAATTTTAAGAGATGTTGATTTAAATGCTACACAAGCAGTTACCTGAAAAGAAATACATACATTCATACTAATATCAACAGCGATGTAAATCTGATTTTAAATTAACATTTGATGATGTCATAAGTGACTTATTCAGCTATAGCTAACAACCAATCAAATAATTTTAATCTCAATCTGTCCTTACTGTGAATAGTATACTAAGCAGGAAACGAAACAACAGTTTGGAATTTTCCTCTGCAGAAATGGATAACTGTAAAGTCATAAATGTTTTGATTGTATAGTTTTGACATTCCTTCCCAAACTCAGAATGGAACCCAGCAAATGGTCTCAAAAACGCAACCTGATCTCAGAGATGGTACGGTGTTCTCCATGTTTTTCGTGCAACTCATGCTGCACGTGCTGTTCACAAGGACCAGCCCTATAAAATGCACCCCCAAACCTGGTTGAAACATTCACATTACAACGTCAGCAGGATGCCGTGACTAACGACAGTTCAGAGGAACCACTGCACAAGCCGTTGCCAATCACTTTCAGGTCAACGTTCGGACCATCTACAGGCTGCAACAACGTTTCCGGGCCACCAACACCACAAATGATCGCCCCCGTACTGGCAGACCATGGGTGACCACAAGATGACAAGACCGCCATGTTGTGCAAAAGCATGTACAGAATCCCTTCATGCAGGCATCCGAAACAGCACGCCACACAGTGGGAACACACGGAAGTCCAATCAGTACTGATACAGTACGCTGGCGTCTTAACAGCGGGACCCTCCATTGCTGTAGACCTTACCGTGGACCTATCCTCACCCCTCGTCATCGGCGTGAACGTCTACAGTTTGCCCTACAACACCAAAACTGGCGATACAGGCAATGGAGAACTGTTCTGTTCACAGATGAGCGTCTGTACTGCGTATCAACTGCAGATGGCAGAACAAGAATATGGCGACGACGTGGACAGCTTTACTCAGACCAATGTGTTATGGAAAGAGACTCATGGGGAGGTGTAAGCATCATGGTATGGGGTGGAATAGGCCTGAACCAGAGAGTGGGTCCTGTGGTGTTCCAGAACCTTGGTCCAGTGAGAGGAGGTGGCATCACAGCAGTGCGCTACATCGACCAAGCTCTCAGACCCCACGTCATACCGAATTTCGCACGTCACCGGAACAACATTTTCCAGCATGATAACACCCGGGACCATACTGCCAGAGCTACACGGGACTTCCTACAGCAGAACGGTGTCAACATTATGCAGTGGCCAGCCTAGAGTCCTGATTTAAACCCAATTGAACATCGTTGGGATGAAATTCAGAAGAGACTGAATAATGTCATACCAAGGCCGAACACAGCCGATTTATTGCGCCAGAGTGTGGTTCCAGGTGCCAATGGCCTTCCTCAATCAATTGGTGCACTCCTACATAGACTCTGTTGCAGTTATTGCCGCTCGTTGTGGTCACACTAGATACTGAAGTCAAGAGTCTGAATGGACTGCAAACGTTCATGTAATGTCTTGAAATTGTGCTGAGTTATTCATTGATGTGTCAAGATATTGTACACAAAAAATGTGTTTGATCCGCTTATTATGTCTATTTCTGTAATGATTTGATTACAGTGCCTATCTCATTTTGAATTCGTACTGACGTTGTTTTTGCTGCTGAGTTACTGCGGCAATTTCTCATCTAACAATATCAACCACTGACATCTTATTTCATTGCATTAGCTAAAACACTAAAAATACTTTTGAAATAAATGAGTAAAATTTCACAATCATTAATTTCATATACCACAAGGAATTCAGTGCAAGAGTTTTGATGATATTACCAGTATTTCTAACAGAAGGTGATAGCTATTCATGATAAATTTGCAAAAGGTCAGGTCGATTTTTGCTATCAATATGGATCTTTATACTTTGTTGTTTAGGTTAAAACAAGGAATCATGTCATCCATTATTATCTACCAATACATGTAAAGTTTGAGAGGTTTTGCTGTTCAGTCTTATCCCCTATCTCATACAATACTGGCCTGGTGTAAATACAAGAACCTAAGACAGCGGTTGAGTGGTGATCATGTGAAGTTTGTTTTGAATTTACTTCCGTGTTTGTCTTCAAGTGTCTCTACAAACATTCATTCAGTGGCATGTGACATTATTATTAGTCTGTAACATATAGAGTCGGCCTTGGGTAACCCAGATTGTTGACATTATTGAAGTGATATCGGGACACATCGTTGTTTGTGGCAATACATCAATGTATAGTCTACCTATATCATACAAATATAGGGATACAGTCAAAATAAATTTTGTATTGATGCATCGTATCACTTGAGAGGTGATGAAGATCTCGATACTGTCCATGAATTGTTTCGCCCTGACTAAACCTATATATACTCATGGAAACAAATAAGGAACACATGAAAATGTTCCTCTATATATTTCCATAATTTCACTAAGCCTATATATACTCATGGAAACAAATAAGGGAACACATGAAAATGTTCCTCTATTTATTTCCAGAATTTCACTAAGCCTATATATACTCATGGAAACAAATAAGGGAACACATGAAAATGTTCCTCTATTTATTTCCAGAATTTCACTCACAGTGCAATACATACATTATGAAGAAACCTGGAAAAGAATAAAGGAACACTTGTACTTTCATGTGTTACCTGATTTGTTTCCATGAGTGTAGGTCTAGGTTAGTGGGATGGTGGTTAAACTGTCGCTTGTCTTGTCACCGCCGAAGACCCAGGTTTGATTCCCCAAATGGGTACAATGTGTGAAGCTCATTTCTGGTGTCCTCTGCCATGATATAGCTGTAATATTGCTAAGAGCAGCGTAAAACTTAACTCACTCACTCACTCTAGAATAGTACAACCATATGCCATAACCTTGAACAAGAAATAAAGTTAAATTTCACCGCATCTAAACATTAACAAACAAGGCTAACTACAAAATGTAAATTACCCCAATACAATACAATGCAGCTCAAGTCAAAGGAACCTCTTTAACATCAGATAATTTAGCTACGCTGATGCTTATATCAGCATAAAACTCATCTTAACTGATGTCAAGATAATAGAGTGCTCAATCTGCACCATCATCAGGCTTATTAATAATATATAGTTAGAGTAATTATCCACAAAAGCTAGCTTTACACTTGATGACTCAGTCACTCATGGGCAGTCAAGAATGAATTCATTCATGTTGTCTGGCCACCTGTTTCAGTGTGTACGAGCGTGTCCTGTTGCCATGGCGATATCCACTGAGGTATGGAAACTACAAGAAAGCTGACATGGAGAGTTATTTACTTGTATGTCATTAAAAATGAGACAACTACTCATGACAAAATGAAAAGACAGAACAGCCTTGACGCTCAAGCAAACCATCTCATTTGAAATTTTGTTTCCCTCTTTCAAAGACAAATACTAGACACAAAAGGTGTTGTAGTTCACCTTTATCATGATTCCAACTTGAGCTGATAAATATGACAATCTAAAATTTGATTGTAGCTTGGTACCACAGTCAACAATATTTCAACAATATGAAAGGCCAGAAAATTCAGTGATTGAAATCATGATCATCGATGTGACTGGGATACGGTGACATGAGTCCACCAAGTCAGCGAGCCTGACCACGTGATCCATTAAGTCGCCACTTACGACAAGCAGGAGGTTACTTTTGGACTAATGCTCAGTCTCTAAAATTATGTACTTGTGACAGTAACCGCCTCCGTGGTGTAGTGGTTAGAGCGTCCGCCCGGAGAGCGGAAGGTTCGGGGGTCGGTCCCCCACCGCGTCATACCAAAAGACGTTAAAATATGGTACTTGTTGGTCTCTGCCTGGCTCTCGGCATTAATGGGTACAACAAGGACTGGTCGGCTCGGAGTCAGTATAATGTGTCTGAGTGGGGTATTCATGCTTCACTGCGGCATGGTATCTCAGTGTGCTAGCATTATAAAACCAGCTTCAGTCTGGGCTAGTACAAGCAGCCGCACATACACATACACACGCATGCACGTCGTCATATGAGCGAAATATTCTCAAGCACGATGTAAAACCCAATTTCACCTCACCTCACTTGTGACAGTAACAACTCCATGTAAATTGAAATGAGTCCCAGTCTGATCTGAGATTCATGACCTAAAAAGAACCTATACTTGCTTCATTTTGGGCTATAGCACAACAGACAAGTCATCAATGTTATCTCAAATACCTAAATATCAAAACAGCTTTCTAGTTTCGAAACTCTAAATGATACATAAAGTCTTCGAACAGTGGGCAAACATGAAATCGTAACTGTGGATGTTTTCTTCGATTTGTCAAGAGACAACATTGCTTGTGTCCTAAACACAAATTCTCGGGATCATCCATGCCAGATTTCAGCTTCATGGACACTAAGGCTTCAGATGAAATGTATCGCAATTAATGTTAACAGACATATACGGAAGGACAGACAAAAGGCAACTGCTATGAACATAGATTCATACACGAAGCACTCTTAGATACAGGTACTGAAAGTAGAATCAGACACCTTGTTTCAACCAGCTGTACAATAACACACTCCAATAACAGCAGTCATATATTACTTTTGGCCCAGATAGGTACAATGTGTGAAGCCCATTTCTGGTGTTCCTGCCCTCATATTGCTGGGGGCGTAAAACCATACTCACTCACTCACTCACTATAACTTTCGACCACATAAACTTACCATGCTCTAACAAATACTGCACTACCTCCTTGTGGCCACACAGACACGCATAATACCTGCAACAGAAAACACAGAAATATACTACTTAGGGAACAACTAATATTATTATTGGACTTACAAGGACAAAGACTGACTGACTGACTGAGTTTGGTTTTACGCCCGCTTTTAGCAATATTCCAGCAACATCACGGCGGGGGACACCAGAAATGGGCTTCACACATTGTACCCATGTGGAGATTCGAACCTGGGTCTTTGGCGTGACGAGCCAACGCTTTAACCACTAGGCTACCCCACCGCCCCCAAGGACAAAGAGCACCACTCTGTGAACATGCTTGGGGGGGGAATCAGAACTTGAAAAGATTATTTCTTAATTATGAAACATACTAACTGATGAAAAGGAGCTAGGAACTCTTTCTAACTTACAAGTGATCTTGATCTAGACGGGATTGCATATTCTTAGCTTTAGGATGTGGGAGCCATGCCAAGTTACACTTGTCAGAGGTGTAAACAATGTATGTGATCTAGACTACCAGTTGTCCAACTTCTGTTGGATATAACCATGATTACTGTGATGGTGAGCTATATACATACAGTCATCTCTCGCCATAACGCGGGTCTTGGGGTCAATCGATGAACCACCCGTGTTATACACGGAATAAAGGCCAAGTAAAATCATATTTTCAACAACAAAAACTACAAAGAATTTTTATTCCATTATAAGAAGAATATAAATCTTAAGCTTTTTCAACAGGGGTAGTAAACATTATTACAGTAAATGTATCAGTGGTAACAGTGATATACAATTTAGTGTGACATGTTACCTTGGTTACAGCAAGCTATATATAGCAGTGTAACATGTTACCATGGTTACAGTGGGTACCACTCAAATTGCCCAAACTACAAAATGCCCCAGCAAATTTGGTCAAACTGCCACAGAATTTTGGTAAAAAATGCCCCAGGGGGGTAGTCAAAATATATGTCATAAAAGCATAGTTTTTGTCAACTTTGATATTATACTCTTCATAAAATGTTATTAGGAAGTAATATTTCTGATAAATATGTTCCATTAGCAAACTCATAAGAGCAAAAGCAATATTCCTGTATACAAAACACTGTAATACCAAGTATTGAGCATGTTATTAATACTTTCGGAAAGAATATTAGACATAATCATTTCAAATAAATTTGGGCATTTTGACTACCTGCTGGGTCAATTTGACCAAAAGTCCGGGTCAATTTGACCAAATTTGCTGGGGCATTGTGTAGCTGGGGCAATTCAACTGGTACCTGTTACAGTAAGCAATACATATCAGTGTAACATGTTACCATGGTTACAGCCAGCTACATATTCAGGTAACATATGTTTGTGAGATAATGTGAAGCACAAGTTACACATACAGTGGTGTGCTGTCCCATTTGTCTCGGGTGTTCAGCTCAACCTCTCGTTCTTCCACTAGGAACCTGAAACCAAATCAAACCTTATTCCACAGTGGTAATCACATAAACATTATATTTATCACTGGGAATGTACCAGCTGTGTTGAGCAGAGTATATTTATGGTAAAAGGCAGTAAATGTGGTTATAACTGTTCAATACTATGCATGATGCTGCACTCAGCAGTGTTCCAGCTATATGGCGGCAGTCTGTAAATAATTGAGACTGGACCAGACAATCCAGTGATCAACAGCATGAGCATCGAACTACGCAACTAGGACTGACTGACTGAGTTTGGTTTTACGCCCGCTTTTAGCAATATTCCAGCAACATCACGGCGGGGGACACCAGAAATGGGCTTCACACATTGTACCCATGTGGGGATTCGAACCCGGGCCTTCGCCGTGACGAACGCAACTAGGAAACGATGTCATGTGATCACCCTATCCCGTTAGGTGCCCATTATCACAAGCATGGGCTGCTGAAGACCTATTCTAACCTGTATCTTCACGGGTTGCTATGTAAGAAAGTTCTGATGAGATCTACTCATGACACAGCTAACATCATCCTCGATAATGCTGGGTTTATTATTTGCATTCTGTTGTCCCTGGACTTGAATCTGGTTCAATTATATGATGCTAAAACTCCAACCAAAATACACTGATCCTTGATGACTGAGTGAGTGAGTTATATCACGGCAGGGGACACCAGAAATGGGCTTCACATATGGCAATCATGTGGGGAATTGAACCCGAGGTTTTGGCATGACGAGCGAACGCTTTAACCACTGGGGTACCCCATAATCCCCCTTGATGACTGAAACAAGAGGAGATATCACTAAAACTCTTATATACTCTCCACAAAATAAAAAAAGAAGAAACGTTACACATTAAAATTTATACAATTATATTTTTTGCTATCAGTCATGTTGACAAAAAGTGGATGTTGGCAACAAAACAATTGTATAGTGCACAACTCTTAAGTCTTTCGTCCCTCAGAAAAAACAGCTCCCTTCACTATAGACGTCACCAGAAAGAACCCACGCCCTCAGTTACGAGTGTGCCCTCCCATAGCGTCTATCGCTGCCTGACATCGATGTCCCATGGAAGCAATGAGGTTGCAAACAGTAAGCCATGGAATGTTCCTCCATTCCTCTTGGAGCGCCTGAAGGAGTTCCTGGTGACTCTGGGGTTGGGGCGACGTTGACGTACCCCCTCGGCCAAGAACATCCCAAAGATGCTCAATGGGAGATAGGTCCAGTGATCTGGCAGGCCATGGCAAGATGATGACATTGTTAGCATGCAGGAAGTCCATAGAAACATGTGCCTAGAAGTCTGGTGTTGTCTTGCTGGAATACGCCGCCATGACGTCTTAGAAATAGCACGATGTGGGTTCCCAGGAATGTGCACCAACCCTGTCCTGAAGTTATGGTTTAACCCTACCCACACCACGACACTCCCACCTCCAAAGCGATCAGCCTCCTGCACACAGTTGCTTTGACAACGTACATTACATCGACGACACATGCTCTGCCATCAGCTCTCCTCAAAAGAAATCTGGTCTCACCGGTGAACAAGATGGTTCTCCACCATTGCATTGGTCTAACTCGATATCTCGTGCACCATTGAAGACGTTCTCTGCGGTGGTGTTGTGTCAGGACGTTATGTCTTGCCAGGCGTCTGGGGCGGATTCCGTGTTCCCGAAGACGGTTAAGGACAGTTTGACTGGAGATGTTCCTCAAACCAGGGATGCTTGCTGCTGTTGTGGTGGCTGAATGAAACCGATCACGGAGGTGTTGAACCCGGATATATCGATCTTGAGCAGGGGTGGTAACACTTGGTCTATCGCAAACACTTCCTGTGGCTGTGAGTTGCATCCATAACCTGTTTATGGTTGCCTTGAACTGCCTTGCAACCTCAGCTTGACTGGACATGGAATGCAATCTTCCAATAGCGTTGTTACGTTGAGCGTTGGATAATCTTGGCATTATTTCACACTTCAGTATTCACAGACGACATCTTTCGTTGAGTCGAGAACCCCTGTGTTTTATAGCCAATGTTCAAATCTCAATACATGCACAACACAAACATCCCGTGCATCATAAGTTTTGCTTTGTTTGGCCGACATGTTTTTAACCTTTTACGTTCTCTCCATTGTCCTTGTCTGACGTCGGTTCATTTTGAGTTACAAAACAGTTTCCTCTAATCTGCTTCTACAGATATTTAATCAAGAAAATGTATTATATACACTCATTTTAGTAAATCAAATTTTAGAATATGTAACGTTTTTGGGGGGGGAGAGTATACAAAAGGACTTCCTGCAACTTGTCTTTGTAGTCAAGAAAAAAAATAAAACTGCTAAAAATAACCTTACAATCTCCAACTTCATATGATGATATCTGAAGCTCAGATAAAGCATCTTGACTTGCTCTTAACAAGCTGGATAAATTCTGTTGTTACTGATGAGAGAGACTGTGAATGTGGCTCTCCAGATAAACTGGGTATTCACATAAATTATGCAAAAGAAAACCCCACAATCACAATTACTTTTCATTGACATGCTTGTAAAACACAAGCTAATTCACCAAAACTTGGCAGGTTAAAAGCCAGTTTAGTATTTTGACATGTGTACCGACTATTTCTATACTCCACTGCAGTGGATTCTTATATGCTTCTTGTTTGTCATCAGGTCAAGGTCAGTATTTGGAATTCTAGTCATGTGTTAATTCTACAAATGAGTTAATTCACTCTGCTGTATGACATTCTTCTTGACATTGACATTTTAGCTTTCAAACAAAACATTGATAAAAAAATAACCAGTTGTTAAAAATTAAAAAAGTGAAAAAGAATGGACTACTGAATCAATTAAAAATTGCATAATTAGATTGAAAACATGGGAGTTAACTCCCAGTGAGCAATTATGATATTACAATGGCACATTATACACTGTGTAATCATGTTTACAGAGGATAGAATCTACATTAAGATTGGCTTATTACAAAATTAACATATGGTTCTACCATAATCATGATGATGAGTCTTGTACAATGTATATTGACTGAAACAGCTTCCAAGGACTGTTTAGACAATTGTAGGCAATGTTTATGCTGAAATGAGAGCCATTGGGACTTAGTTCATAATTTATGGCAATGGGGGTGTGTGTGTGTGTGTGTGTGTGTGTGTGTTTGGGTGATGATGATTTTTATGGAGAAGCACAAACAATGTGAGTGACCCCCTAAAATTTATGTACAAAGTAAGTGACCCCCCTGCATGTCATGTACAAAATCAATGAACCCCCCTCCCCTTCCCATATGTTTTTAGCATAACTTCTGAATATTTTTGTGTACAAAATTGCTGACCCCCCTAGTACATGTGTACAAATTTGATGATCCCCCTACCTCCCCAGAACAAAATGGGTGACCCCCCCTTAAAATCATCAACACCCCACAATTATGAACGGTCCCTTAGTAAATTATTGACAAGGGGGGACACATGATGACAACAGTTATTTAATAGTTTCTGTCTCCTGACATCACTTAAACTAATCTTATTTGAAAATATGGACTGTGGCATGAAGTTTGGGACTTTGTACAGGGTGCTAATTAACAGCTCAGTGATTACTCCAGAAGATGGTCCGAGGGCAGTTTTTGAACCTGACACAATGCAGGTTATATTGTATCTAAGGGTACTGTAACATTTTCAGAGAGTTAAAAATGAGTTAACAACAAATTATCTTACATGTTCTTCAGCAGCATTTTTTAATATTGCGAAGAGCAATAATGGTGTATTACTGTTTGACAATGGTACAAGAATCTGTATTGAAATGTAGCACTCACATACAAAATATGCTGTTTTCCATTATTGAATTATTTCACACACTTTTGAATTTGCAGCTTTACTATAGCAGTGATTTGTCTCCCAGGTTGTTCTATTACAATGGGCAAACCTGATGTTTTGTTTCAACATGTCTGTCATTTGGTGGAAATTTTACCAGGTAGTTTGTTTGGGAGATACCCTAGTGTAAATTCCCATATCTTGACTGACACAGAGAAATAGTGTTGAAACATTAATATGGCACAGCAAGAAATCCAACAGGTCCATAATTGTGTAAGACCTGCCTCACTTTGGGCTTTCCTCCCACATACAGTTGCATTAAATCACTCACTCATTGAAGGGGCCCTCTCAATGTCATATACCTAGTCAGGGTTCTACCTCGACTCACAAACATTGGGGTCCCAGAGACCCCCAATCATTAGTTTTAACGGTCCCTACAGACACTATGAGGGTCTCGTGAAGTAACAACTGTACGTTTTGATAACTTCCTTAGAGCCTGGAATGAATCATTGATCATGTGGACTGATGGATGAAATGATGCACATGACTGCTCTGAACGAAACAAGCAAACACTTAGCAAAGTAAGAGATGTGTTGTGGGTACAATGAATAATATTTCATGAATAATTTCCTCTGGATGCTGTGAATTGTTTTTCTGCATCCATTCTCTACATATGTGCATGCTAGACACACATTTGTGCATTGTGTAAAACTTTTATATTTAGCTGTCCGTAGATTCAAATACCAAAGCAGCAGCCCCCAAGGACCTGAGAGTTCCTTTGGTATAAAACACTCCACAGTTGACACTTGAATGTTTAACATAAAACTTGTAAATCAATTTTGGAAGAACAAGTTAAGCAGACACCAGATGTCGGTTCCCCTGTATTGGGTCTGAATATATATGTTGTGATTCATGGAATTACCTTTGATTCCAAAACTCCGAAGAGTTGTTTCAGCTGAGACACATGACATAAGATCTCCATAAGTAATTAGCTCAACCAGACAAATACAGTTCTATATTTAATCCACTGCCATGCTTTGTGTGTGACTTATCATGCTTATGACTAAATCTGTGTTCCACATAACATAGATTTACGACAAGTACCACGGAACTCGCTTTGTGCAATGGGACCATATGGTCTATGTTTTCAATCTAATATTCCAGACCAGAGGCCCATTCTGACAAACTGGGAGCGCTGGGGCTGAGAAGACAAATGGATTACTGTGATGAAATTATCAGGCATGTTTGGATTCAGGGAATGACACTTGCTACTGGAATGAGCGAGTGATAAGTTTGGTTTTGCATTGCTTTAAGACATTTTTCAGCAGTATCACTGCGGGGACACTGGAAATAGGCTTCACACATTGTATCCATGTGGGAATCAAACTCGGGTCATCTCTGTGATGAGTGAACACACTACCCACCATGCTACACCACTGCATCTCTCGTTATTGGAAGCTATTCTTGTTATTGGAAGCTATATGGTAAACTTTATTGATAAACTCAAAAACAGTGAGCTGGAATCAAATTACAAAAAATAAATAAAAACTAACGTTTAAAATGGATAAGGGACCGTGCATAATTTATGGCTAGGAAGGGGGGTGATGATAATTTTAAGGGGGGTCACCCTTTTTGTTCTGGGGAGGTGGGGGTCATCAAATTTGTACACATGTACTAGGGGGTGGTGGTGGTCAGCAATTTTGTACACAAATATATATTCAAAAATTATGCTAAGAAAATATGGTAAGGGGAAGGGGGGTCATTGATTTTGTACATGAGATGCAGGGGGGTCATTTACTTTGTACATACATTTTGGAGGGGGTCACTCACATATTGTACGTGCTTCTCCATAAAAATCATCATCACCTAAGTCAGAAACCGAAACTTAGCTATCAGTGTCGCAGGTATCAGTTGTATTTTGGGGAATGAGCGTCATAACCAGATAATGCAACCTGTATGTTGCATGACATTGTAAATAATTCAAATTTTGTCAATGGATTCGAATTCAAGATTTCATAATATTTCACTAAATATTGCAGATGATTAAGGATAAAAGTTCATGCATTGGTGTTGTAAAGCAAAACGTTATCACGAGGAAGTTGAATAAAACGTACAATGTGCAGAGCTAACTGTACATCATATGAACTGACACTGACAGTGGTTCAATGATAAGGCCAAGAGCAACGAGCTCCGCTAAACATCATAGAAATAATGAAATGTCAACATACTTCACTTTTTGCAAATCCCCAACTCGACAGCTGTCGTAAAGTGCTACGATGTCCATCCTTCGGATTACAGGCAGCAACAGGGACTGTCTCAAAGGGTGGAAAGCGCAATTTGTGAAACTAAACAGGTCCCAAGATCCGAGTAAATACGCTGACCTCTGACCAATGTTGTCAAACAGTCGCCACAGACACAGACAAAAATAGGTCTTTGAAATGTAAACATAAATTCATTAGTTTATTAATTTTATTATTTTTTTCGTTTTCTGTGAGGCATGCATGAGTACCTTGGTTCTTCTGCATCCCTCATTTGATCGAAATGATGATGTCGCTTATATCAACTACAGCGCTGTAGTTCTAAAAATAGGGTATCACGTGTGGTATGTTTTCATTGCGATTTGCACAAGCTCCATACAGCGCATTTGGTACTTTAAGTTGTGTGATTGGAACGTGTGACAATTAAACAACATAGTGTAGAGTTCACAAGTGTTAATTGGTCGAAGTTCACCTGTATCAAGGTATATTATATCATGTGCCTTTATGGAAGCATTTAGCGGAGAGAGTGTCACCAATACCTCCTATTTTTAATGCTGATCACTCTTTTTTAATGTCAGGTACCTCTAATGGGATTACATAGACCGACTGATGATTGCCACTTGCAATGTTACTGGACTTTGATCTTAAGGCTCACTTAGAGCGAGAACTTTGAATAAAGTTTTGATTTTTTTGGTGTACTGCTTCACACAAAAACTGGCTGCAAATATTACCTGAAATTGAAACTAATGTATACTTTGACGTTTCCAGAATATTAATGGAGTAAAATTAAAGTAGTAAAATCTAGAGAACATTTAAAGGTCAATGCTAGCATTTCAATCTTAGGTTAATGTGTCTTGCAGTACAATAAATAGTCACAGTTCACTATGATATAGGGTCATGACTAGACAGTCGAAGCCAATTTCGGCATGTGGGAACAGGTTCCATTACCTTTTACATCGAATAAGGTGTCTGAATTTAAGGTAGCATTTTAAGGTCCATAGATAATATTATATAATGTTATCAACAACTTTTGTATCAAAGGTCAACTTCAGATAGAAAACAAATTTCAACTGTTTTCAATAAATTTGATTTACTACCGTAATAAATTAGGCATTTGTAGCCTTTAAAGAGGGGCTTATTTTTAAATCTCCTCGCTCATATTTTCTTGTAGAGAGAGCAGACATTTTCAACATGCCTGAGGCTATGCCTCGGTGGGCCAGGACAAGTCTGGGTGCAGGAGCTGGCTGTGTTCTTCTGATGTCCATGTACCTCATGTTCAACACTCGCAGGAAGAAATCCAGGACGAACATTGTTGTCTTTAGTCGCTATCCGACACCTGGTGCCACAAAGACGAGGTTGGTGCCTGAACTGGGGCCAAGTGGGGCAGCTAGAGCCCAGCGGTATATGGTAAGTGTTGTTCTACCCAGTGGATTAGAGTGAGAGAGTGAGTGAGTTTAGTTTTATGCCGCTTTTAGCAATATTCCAGTAATATGACAGCAGGGGACACCAGAAATAGGCGTAACACATTGTACCCATGTAAGGAATCGAACCCCAGTCTACCGCATTACACATGAATGCTTTAAACACTGGGCTACACCACCTTTCCCCAGTGGATTAGAGAAGAACTCACCTGCTACAAAGTGGTTATCACATGAGTGTGTTTTGTTTTGTTTTGTTTTGTTATTTAATTCTGAACATTATTCCAGCTCTGTGGCAGTGTATTTTGGGGTAGTAAATAACATAAATAAGGAATGAAGATTGTATTTCATTAGAGTTGGCTACATTAAAGAGACAGTGATCTAGAGCAATCCCCTGAAACTAGTGGTTGCTTTTGTTATTGTTTTGTCCTGTGGGTACCTGGATGATATCCCCGAATTTTGGAATAAGCGCAATTGATAGTATTAAGGGCATATCCTTGCCTTAATCCACAATTTTTAAAAAGTTTTGTCTTGGAATTATTTGTGCAATATAGTCATCTATGTGACCCCTTAATATTTCAGTTATTTTACAAACTTGCAGCAAATATTTGATCTAGTTTATGATTATAACAGTTCCAAACATTTTGAAGTTGATTTCCCAGTGACTGAGAGTGTCAGGATTGAAAGTAAAAGGAAATCAATGTACATCTTTATGATCCTAGCATAATGTATCTGTTATTATATTTTCTGCACTTTAAAATTTTATATTTTGAGCTGAAAATCTGTAGTTGTAGGTATTCTTACTTTATAATTGCTTACTTACAAAAGCTGAAAATGCTGAAAAATAAATCTTTTCTAGCAATAACATCTTCTACAATGATAATGGTCATCAAATCACCAATTTCCGGTGGAGTTGATTATTGTGATTTGATCCCTCTGATTGACCAATCAGAATGTGGCAGAGGTACAGATAAGCTGCGTATCTGCGTAAATTACGCAAATATTTATGTGAAAACTCAATTCCTATTATGTCTGTTGCGTACAAGTACGCTTAAATTTTTGTAAATACTCAATAAATTTACTCTTACATGTGACACACAAAACTGTCAAATCTTAGCTCTGGTGTTACTGAGGTGAGATATAATAACTGAGGTATATTGAGAGGTTTTATTTCAGATCATGAATGTGGCAACTTGCAGTCTTTCTTATGGTTTCTCAAATTACAGATCAAACATAAATAACAAACACCGTAAACCAACATTTAAACTTTATCATAGTTTTATAATTAATGGATAATGGAAAAATCCCCAAATGAGCTTGAGTCAGGTGGGTACAATTTATTTGGTTACTCAAAGGAAAATTAGGATACCCAATTGAAATGAACACAAGTGAGTCAACACTCAATGACTTAAAAAGTTATCTGTAGCTCTGATGTGGTATTTCCCAAATTCATGGCATAATGTTGATGGAAGCATAATGAATACACAGAAGTAATTGCTAGATGTCCTTTAAGTTCACACTTTGCCTTTCATGAAAGAATGTTAAGTTATTTAATGGAAGGTTTGTTATTAAACACTATTCATTGTATCAAATACCCTGTTTGTATGTGCTACTTTTAGTGCACATCACTAAGGCTCAAGGGTTTAACTGATGTGGATGTTTTCTTGTGTTTATAACATATTTTTTTAAGAAAACCCCAGCACAAGTTGGGTGTACTGGGTGATTGCCTTTTGTAGTAATGCGAATAAATTTTTCCTGAACAAACATTTCCTGATCTAGTCTTGAACAAAATGAAGAAAGTCCCTTGGCTCCTTTTTATTATATTTTTAGGGTATAATTTGGGAACCATTTTTCTGTTAATTATGTTCATTTCAGAAACTGATCCTGCCGCTGAACACCTTTCATTATTACAGAAGTAATGGACTTCAGTGAAAGCTGTGGAATATTTATCAACCAATCTATTTCAGAGCGAACACCTCTTTAGTGAACTGACAAAGCTCCAGTCAAATGGGGACTTGCCAGCACCCCATGTCACGGTCTCTTACAGTGGAGCCACGGAGCCTCAGATGGACCGATGGTTGGGGCGTAGATTTGCCAAGATGGATGTCTCGTGGTCTCCCCAACTGCCGGGCCTGTGCCTTGGCGAGAAGCTTGCGTACGCTTTCCGTGAGAGCTTCTCACAGAACCACACTTACACGATTGTTATTGGTAGGTTCCTTGAGAATGTTTGGATGGAGGTAGTTCAGTGATCAATAGCGAGTCCACCCTCGCTGTGTTTAGTACCAGCGTTAGAATCCAAGACTGTCACGGATTATGATAAACCTGCTGTTAAAATTATTTCCGATATTGTTGGAGGCTGCTGAAAGTGATGCATGTAGGGAATGTTACCGCTTTTGTAAAACTGACCAACAATGAGGCTGTCAAGCATTGGCGGATCCAGATGCACCCCCTCTTTTTGTCCTGAAAGTTTATTAAATGACCATTGAAACTCTTGTGAAAACGGGGTGATGGGGTAGCCTAGTGATTAAAGCGTTTGCTCGTCACGCCGAAGGCCCGGGTTCGATTCCCCACATGGGCACAATGTGTGAAGCCCATTTCTGGTGTCCCCCGCCGTGATATTGCTGGAACACTGTTAAAGCGGCGTAGAACCAAACTCACTCACTGTGCACCCCCTTTCTCAAAAAGCTGCATCCGCCCCCTGGTCAAGCCAAGATCATAACAGGAAATAGACTGAGATTTGCTAAGGGATGCAACAATAGCTATATGCATGAAGAGTTCTGGTGTCCAGGCAACAACAGAAAGTGGCATGAGATGTTTTTGATATTTAGGGAGTGACATTCCTGGAATCACCACTGACATCCTGAACGAAGCCATGACACTCCTGCAGTCTCCAAGCACTGATGCCGTTCTGGGGAAGGCTGAAGATGGGGGATACTACCTCATAGGAATGCGAGATAGCTGCAGGGGAATTGTTGGTAGGTATAAAATCAGACGATGTTTATTTCTGCGAACATGCAAGGCTGAAGATGGAGTATACTACCTCATGGAATTCCGAGATAGCTGCAGGGGACTTGTTGGTAGGTAGAAAATCAGGGGGGATGTTTATTTCTGAGGACATGCAAGGCTGAAGATAGGTTTATCATTTACAGAAGAAATACTGTGTCTTGTTTTGGGGTTAAAAGGTATGTTTAAAGCACTTTAAGTTGTGATTGGGAAAGGTGAACATGAGTATTCTCTTGGGGAATGAGTGAGAGAGTATTCGGGATATTCGGGATATTCAGACAAACAAGTCATACATATGTTTCATGTTGGCTTCAGTCATAGTTTGCAGTTTTGATACATATACACCCCTAGAGGGGCGGTGGGGGTAGCCAAGTGGTTAAAGCGTTCACACATCATGCTGAAGACCCAGGTTCGATTCCCCACATGGGTACAACTGTGAAGCCCATTTCTGGTGTCCTCCGCTGTGATATTGCTGGAATATTGATAAAAGCAGCGTGAAACCAAACTCACTCACTCACTCACTCACTTAGAGTCACAGCAGCTGCACAACCTGCTTTTCAACTATACTACAGGTGTGTAGGTTGATATACCTAGAGAACAAAGGCTAGGATTGTTACATATCTTCACAGATGACTTGTTCAAGGGCATCAAGTGGGGTAGCGAGGAAGTGTTTCAGCAACAGGCCGTAGCGTGCCGTCGCCTCAACCTGAAGCTACACCTACTCCCAGTAACCCTCAATGATGTGGTGAGTTGTTTTCTAAACAATATGGGGGCGGTGGGGTAGCAGAGTGGTTAAAGCGTTTGCTTGTGACGAACAAAACCTGGGTTTGATTCCCCATATAGGTACAGTGCTGGAATATTGGTAAATGTGGCATAAAATCATACTCACTGTGTGTTTTACACCATTCAAAGCAATATTCCAGCAATATCATAACAGGGGACACCAGAAATGGGTGTCACACTCTGTACAATGCAATCAAGTGTGATGAAGAATACTTAAGCCACTGGGCTGCCCCACCACCTGCCCCCTGTTGACGAAGGGGATGAGCTTATTCATGAGTGATTTACATGTGTGGACATTTTCAGGATTACCCTGAAGATTTACCGGTTCTGGAGGCCCATGTTGGAGTGCCAAGTTCGGAACTGAAACATCCACATTGGAGCGTCGTCATCCCCACATATAATGAGGCTGATAACATAGCTCGCACTCTCAGGGATTTGTTGAAGGTAATATTCTCTTTGTTTGATCGGCATTCTAGAAGTTGGTGAGTCAACAAATGAAACATACAACTTTATGGATGACAACTTCTGGTTTATTTGCGTTGAGCGACGTTTTGATGTAGATTCTTACATCGTTATCAAGCTAAAAGTGAGTACAACCAAATGGTGAGGAGCATATATGCATGGTATGTTGTGACAAGCAGCAGTTTAACATTAACAACAGCATGTAATAGAAATAACAAGTGGTACATAATAGTTGTTATACTGTACTGACACTTTGTTATATGCAGAGTTATAACCAGACTAATTGACACTTGATTGACACTTTGTTTTAACCAGGTAAAAAGCAGATTATTTTATTCCATGGTTAAGGGACAATAGAACTCTTGATAAGACAAATATCAGGAATTATCTTTGATAATTAATATATCACTTTTCAGTCATTAGTTTCTTTCAGAGGAAACTTGATTGCTGTCACCAGTTGGTGAAAGGCTAGAAGCTGTGTTCAGAGTAATATATAGATATAGCGTGTTAACAGAGCTAAAATTAGTAAAAATGTTAAAGTTAGAGTTAAAAGGCACTATGTCACACCACACTTCCCTAAAAATCCATAATGTATTTCTCTCAATAATACTAACTGTCATCCCTCAGGCAAGCTACCATGTAATTTATTCCAAAAGAAATTACGTATTTAGATTACAATATTAAATTAGAAAGTTCAAATTAATTGATGCAATGTTGCATTAAATCGGCTCTTACTTCCTCTACTGGCTGAACATTGTTTCAAATTAACCCCATACAGTTATGTCCGTTGGAGCACTCTTTACGGATATCCTACACACAACTTGATTGAAACCAGTTTGGTAAACACCAACAACACTGCGTGTGACAGTTTTCTGTGTACGGAGCAATCGTTTACATTCCATGGCTGTTCGCCTCGAAATTGTCAAAATTGTGTGACATTGTGCCTTGGGCAAAGTCCTTTCACTGCTTGGGAATAAGGCAGTTCTTATTCTCAATTAACGAATAAATGAAAGGTCAAAATAAATGTGTCTGAACATTTATTACGGCCAAACAGAAAGAATAAACCAAAACAAGGAAAAATCCCAGACACTGCTCATTCTTCAAAAGTGTGAATGTCAACCAACCCTCTATTATAAATGTCTTCCCGAGAATGGAAGCTATTTCTTCCATTGTGTAGTAATTATGAACTTCTGGCTTGAGTTTTATGGACATCTTTGTCCCTCTGCAATAATATCTTTTCTAATGACATCGTTGACCTGTTTAACGCTGTTGTCAGCTACTGACCACGAAATGCACAAGACTTTCAAGACCACATGCACAATGCATAGTGATGGGTGTATTCGGACACACTGACCCAAGCGAAAAACAAACATATCTGTTTCCTACTGCTCATTGCTGTTTTAGATGATCTTTGTGTGAAATGTGAATCCATAAAAGTATGTGCATGCTGCAAATTGTATCAGCAGAACAAATGAAACTACTGATGTATGTGATGGTAAATTCATGTATCTAGGTATTAGTTTGATGATGGTAACTGTATATATATAGGTGTTTATGTATATTGTCTGGGACATACATAACTGCATATATTTTATTATCATGCATTTGCTTTCAATATATAAACCATTGAGATTGAAATAGAACAAGTGTGTCGTGTTAACCAAATTATTGTATATTGATAGATGACTGTAGTGAATCTATAACATTATATAGACTAGTGCAGTTTTGACCTTTCCACAATTCCTGAGCCACCTCTTGATGGCCAAAATTTAAAGACTACCTCAAGTAGTGAAAAGAGCATCTGCTTGAAAGCCGGATTACAATCCCTGACTTTGTCAAAGTGAGTGAGTGAGTTTAGTTTTACGCCGCTATTCCAGCTATATGGCTGCGGTTTGTAAATAATCAAGTCTGGACCAGACAATCCAGTGATCAACAGCATGAGCATCAGTATACACAATTGGGATACGATGAGATGTGTCAACCAAGTCAGCGAGCCTGACCACTCGATCCGTTAGTCGCCTCTCACAACAAACATGGGTTACTGAAGATCAATTCTAACCCAGAACTTGACAAGATTGACTTTCTCAAAGCAAAAGATGTGAAAACATTATGCGAAAACCCCGATTAATGACCGAAGTAAAGGGAGATTAGCCACCTGTAGTATTTTATCTGTAGTTCCACTACAGTGGTAAATGACAGGCTTAATTCTCTCCCATGTTGTGCAGTTCCTCATGTGTATATTTATTTCAGAGGGTGAACTGTACGGACAATATTGCCGAAATTGTTGTGTCAGATGGAGGAAGTTCGGATGACACAGTTAAGATCTGTCAGGAATTTGCAAGGTCATCTCCTGTAAAGGTCAAGGTTGTTTCAAGTAAACCTGGTAAGTGTATCAAATTGAAATCACATTTAAACTTATTTGGATTTATTTATTTTATCAAATTCAATTTTATTCATTTGAATATTTAATGTAGGATAATGTTATGAAATGAGTTATGTTTCGTCCACAACTGTTCGAACATGTATGTTTATGGTTCATCGTTTGTTCTCCCATGAAGTCACTTTAATTACATATACAGTCAAATACCATTGTCATACGTCAGTGTGTAGAACTCAAGGGTTGTGTTGAAGTAAGAGCTTATTCCTTATTTAGTCATCCTGGTTGGCACATGTCATATTGTATCCCAATTGCATAGATCGATGCTCATGCTGACTGACTGACTGACTGACTCAAAATCAAGTGATTGAATATTCATATTGATTCAGCAGAAGTATATGCCATATTTTGTCTTCTTAGATGTACTGAAACATAATGGACTTGTTGATCACTTGATCCTGGTGTTGATCACGTGATTCTGATCATTTGATTCTGATGTTGATCACGTGATCCTGATGTTGATCACGTGATCCTAGTGTTGATCACTTGATCCTGATGTTGATCACTAGATCCTGGTGTTGATCATGTGATCCTGGTGTTGATCACGTGATCCTAGTGTTGATCACGTGATCCTAGTGTTGATCGCTTGATCCTGATGTTGATCACATGATCCTAGTGTTGATCGCTTGATCCTGATGTTGATCACATGATCCTAGTGTTGATCACTTGATCCTGGTGTTGATCACGTGATTCTGATCATTTGATTCTGATGTTGATCACGTGATCCTGATGTTGATCACGTGATCCTAGTGTTGATCACTTGATCCTGATGTTGATCACTAGATCCTGGTGTTGATCATGTGATCCTGGTGTTGATCACGTGATCCTGGTGTTGATCACTTGATCCTGATGTTGATCACATGATCCTGGTGTTGATCACATGATCCTGGTGTTGATCACTTGATCCTGGTGTTGATTACGTGATCCTGGTGTTGATCACGTGATCCTAGTGTTGATCGCGTGATCCTAGTGTTGATCGCTTGATCCTGATGTTGATCACATGATCCTGGTGTTGATCACGTGATCCTGGTGTTGATCTTGGTGATCCGACGATCATGTGATCACCATTGTTGATCACTTGATCCTGATGTTGATCACATGATCCTGGTGTTGATCACGTGATCCTGGTGTTGATCACGTGATCCTGGTGTTGATCACGTGATCCTAGTGTTGATCATGTGATCCTGGTGTTGATCTCTTTATCCTGATGTTGATCATGTGATCCTGGTGTTGATCACGTGATCCTGGAACTGATCACTTGATCTTCGTGTTGATCATGGTATTCTGGTGTGGATCATGTGATCCTGGAGTTGATCACGTGATCCTGATGTTGATCACATGATCCGGGTGTTGATCACTTGATCCTGGTGTTGATCACGTGATCCTGGTGTTGATCACTTGATCCTGGAACTGATCACTTGATCTTCGTGTTGATCATGGTATTCTGGTGTGGATCATGTGATCCTGGAGTTGATCACGTGATCCTGATGTTGATCACATGATCCGGGTGTTGATCACTTGATCCTGGTGTTGATCACGTGATCCTGGTGTTGATCACTTGATCCTGGTGTTGATCACGTGATCCTGGTGTTGATCACTTGATCCTGGTGTTGACCATTTGATCCTGATGTTGATCACGTGATCCTGATGTTGATCACGTTATCCTGGTGTTGATCACCTGATCATGGGCCTAGATTTTCGAAGCTCTTTTAGCGCTAAGAGAGCCTAAAATATCTAGGCCCGGAACTGAACACTTGATCATGGAGTTGATTACTTGATCCTCTTGATATTGGGATTGATTACTTGAATCTGGTGTCAATCCTGGAGTTGATCTGAAATTGATCACTGAATCTCGGTATTGTTCTGTGGTCTTGGTCCTCATCGTTTGATCTTGGTGCTGACCTTGCTGATGACTTAATTCTATTTACAATAACAAAAAAACATCTGCTCCTTAAAGAAATAGTTAACATTTGAAGACTTTTGAATCCCCAAGCTGCCTTGGTGAAATGATTAATCGTTAACTACATTATGTTGTTTGTGAAACGTGAAAAATGAAACGTTGATGCAACAACACGTGACAAACTCAGTGTTCATGAAATTAAATTTACCATAATTTTCCCCAAATGTTTAATCAACACAGTTATGTTTTAAAGAATACAAACGATATTTGTTTAAATTCATTTCCTGTTACATCTTACACCATGTTTTTGATTACTTCAAATTACCTCCTTTTAATTAAGTAAACATGTGGTCTTCCACAGTAGGACAGTAGCCTATTTGGGCCAGAACTAGGGCAAGCGACATTCGGCTCAGATGAACTGACACCGAAGCACAGTTTCCCTGACATGATTAACTTTGTAACAAATGTCATATCAGGATTTAAATAAAACTAAAAACACCCAACTAACTACATATTGTAAATTTTAAGACATTGAGGCATATACCACACGTAAAAGTGAATTGTTTTAAGAATTAGATTGGCATATATTTCTTTTCAGTTGCCAATAAGTCTCATACACTTTTCTGAAAGCAATTACAAATAGTACCGCGGAAAGGTTGCCATTGAAATATTCCAGGTTTGCAGGTGCAGTTTTGTAATAGCTAGTAGAGTTTTGTAATTGTAGATGAAGACAATAACATATTCTGACATCCAGGTAACACTTTGAGTGAAATTAAAAAACAGGAACCAGTCTGAACCAGTTTCATTTGACTGTAAACTGACTGTCAAATACACCAGAACCAATTTCAACTGACTGTAAACTGACTGTCAAATACACCAGAACCAATTTCAACTGACTGTAAAGTGACTGTCAGATACACCAGAACCAATTTCAACTGACTGTAAACTGACTGTCAAATACACCAGAACCAATTTCAACTGACTGTAAAGTGACTGTCAAATACACCAGAACCAATTTCAACTGACTGTAAACTGACTGTCAAATACACCAGAACCAATTTCAACTGACTGTAAAGTGACTGTCAGATACACCAGTGAACCAATTTCAACTGACTGTAACCTGAGTCTGACTGTCAGACACCAGAACCAATTTCAACTGACTGACTAAAAGTGACTGTCCAATACACCAGAACCAATTTCAACTGACTGTAAAGTGACTGTCAGATACACCAGAACCAATTTCAACTGACTGTAACCAACTGTCTCACCAGAACCAATGTCAACTGACTGTAAAGTGACTGTCAGATACACCAGAACCAATTTCAACTGACTGTAAAGTGACTGTCAAATACACCAGAACCAATTTCAACTGACTGTAAAGTGACTGTCAAATACACCAGAACCAATTTCAACTGACTGTAAAGTGACTGTCTAATACACCAGAACCAATTTCAACTGACTGTAAAGTGACTGTCAAATACACCAGAACCAATTTCAACTGACTGTAAAGTGACTGTCAAATACACAGAACCAATGTCAACTGACTGTAACTGACTGTAAAGTGACTGTCAAATACACCAGAACCAATTTCAACTGACTGTAAACTGACTGTCAAATACACCAGAACCAATTTCAACTGACTGTAAACTGACTGTCAAATACACCAGAACCAATTTCAACTGACTGTAAACTGACTGTCAAATACACCAGAACCAATTTCAACTGACTGTAAACTGACTGTCAAATACACCAGAACCAATTTCAACTGACTGTAAACTGACTGTCAAATACACCAGAACCAATTTCAACTGACTGTAAACTGACTGTCAAATACACCAGAACCAATTTCAACTCACTGTAAAGTGACTGTCAAATACACCAGAACCAATTCAACTCACTGTAACCTGACTGTCTAATACACACCAGAACCAATTTCAACTGACTGTAAAGGTGACTGTCAAATACACCAGAACCAATTTCAACTGACTGTAACCTGACTGTCAAATACACCAGAACCAATTTCAACTGACTGTAAAGTGACTGTCAAATACACCAGAACCAATTTCAACTGACTGTAAAGTGACTGTCAGATACACCAGAACCAATTTCAACTGACTGTAAAGTGACTGTCAAATACACCAGAACCAATTTCAACTGACTGTAAAGTGACTGTCAAATACACCAGAACCAATTTCAACTCACTGTAAAGTGACTGTCAAATACACAGAACCAATGTCAACTGACTGTAAAGTGACTGTCTAATACACCAGAACCAATTTCAACTGACTGTAAAGTGACTAACACCAGAACTTTCAACTCACTGTACACCAGAACCAATGTCAACTGACTGTAACCTGACTGTCTACTGTCAACTCACTGTAACCTGACTGTCAAATACACCAGAACCAATTTCAACTCACTGTAAAGTGACTGTCAAATACACAAGAACCAATTTCAACTGACTGTAAAGTGACTGTCAGATACACCAGAACCAATTTCAACTGACTGTAACCTGACTGTCAAATGACTGTCACAGAGAACCAATGTCAACTGACTGTAAACTGACTGTCAAATACACCAGAACCAATTTCAACTGACTGTAAACTGACTGTCAAATACACCAGAAGCAATTTCAACTGACTGTAAACTGACTGTCAAATACACCAGAAGCAATTTCAACTGACTGTAAACTGACTGTCAAATACACCATGGAAGTATACAAAAAACCACAAGAGATGGATCCCTGAAGTATAATGTATTGATGAGATCAAAACCTCAATGAAATCAACAAAATGACAGTCCTACAGTATAATTTTGGCATGACAGTAGCCTAACTATACATTAGGCATATTGTATGTAGCGTTCACTTGTAACGCCAAAGACCCGAGTTTGAATCCCAACATGCGTACAATATGTGAAGCCCATTTCAGGTGTCCCCTGCTGTGATATTCCTTGAATAACTAAACCAAACTCACTCACTCCTTATATATATCAGTGGTTTCATGGTGTTCCAGGCCGGGGGATTCAGCAGCATACTGGAGTGATGGAGTCCAGCGGTTCCATGATTCTGTTCCTACACGCGGACACCCTGCTGCCCCGAGACTTTGATGTCCTCAGTAGTGAGGCCCTGGCCACACCAGGAAATGTGGCCTCGGCTTTCACACTGGACTTTGATGGTTTACACCGGAATACAGGTAGGAGTGAATTAATATTTTACATACCGGTATATCAGCAATATCTGTAAAAATACACATAGGAGGGATATCTTAATGAGTGAGTGAGTGAGTTTAGTTTAACCCGAACTCAGCAATATTCCAGCTATTTGGCGGTGGTCTGTAAATAATCGAGTCTGGACCAGACAATCCAGTGATCAACAGCGTGAGCATCGATCTACGCAATTGGGAACCGGTGACATGTGTCAACCAAGTCAGTGAGCCTGACCAGCCCGTCGCCGTGAGAGGCCTCTTAATGGAGCTCTTCATGTGTACGACAAGCATGGGCTTCTGAAGATACATTAACCCGGACCTTCATGGGTCGGATGTCTTAATGGATGACACCTGTGACATGTGTTGTGTTTGACATTACATTGCTTTAGCAATACTAGTTTGATTTTGGGTGGAACCCCATTGAATCTTTGTCCTACACTGTATCAGAGTGAAACGCCTGTTGCCTTCTATAGAAAGATGTATCTTGAGTATTATGGAAGTCCATATGCTGCACACTATGTCTGTTGTGATTAAGATGGCATTAATCATTCACTATATCTGGGGAATTGCTACTTGCTCCAGTCCCTAAAAACAAAGTATAATTAGATCTATTTCAAGCGTATATGTCATATGACATATGTCAGAATGAAATTTGTGATGGCTGTGAGAAGATAGATGTTTATGAAAGGTGCAAACTAATTGTGAAGATTTTATTGCCTCTTCATCTCTGGGTAATGGTGAGCTGTGAGAAGATAAGTGTTTACAAATGGGGTAAACTAAATATTAGGATTTTATGACTGATGCATCTATGTGAAAGGGTTATCTGTGAGAAAATCTTGCTTGATTTTATCTTGTTTTTTCTTTGATTTATTTTATTTTTATTTCATACAGTCTGAGTGAAGTAAAAGATTTTTAAACAAAAGCAAAAGTGTTTTTATCATGAAAGACCATGCCGATGTCATGTAACTGTGAATATCTCCTAGTGGAGTGATGGAATCTGAGTGTAGTCTGAGGTTGATTGCCTTCTTGTTATCGCACCAGTTGTTGGTCCATGCAGGTGTGAACATCACCTGTCAGGAAGATAAATTTGCAGTTGTCCAATACAGGTGATTTTTTCCCCAGGGGACATAACTCTTTGCAGCTTAAAGTTTCCCCCCTTCAAACTTTGGTGGAGCAGTTTAAATGTTTGGTGTGGGTTTATAAAATGTTTTGGGACATTCACTACCTCACATCTAAACTGTGATTGTGAAGCGTGCTTGGAGGGCTTTCAGATATTTTAGCTTTGGTCTAGTGTTCAGTTTCAGAGTAAATACATGTAATAATGTATTACATTTGCAGCTTGCACTATGTGTATTATAAGATATTGCCGTGAATTATTTGTTTTATCATCATGATAACCACACAATGCAAATTTACTTCAGGAAATCACGTGGCTTGCCGGTGCTAGACTGGATGACATATTACAGGCTCAAGATTGTACAGCTGTTTGCGAATCGTTTTAATCGCATCACTGGTAAGTGGCAGTGAAGACTGTTCTTGCAGTGCTAACTTGTGCGTGTGTTCTAGTCATGCCAATTTGTACATGACATCATGCATACACATTGGGCAAATATGAAAAACAACAACACAATTTTGTTGATCTTTTTAAAACTTTGAAGCAGCCATAAAGTTTTCATTCATATGCCTTCTCCACATCACTGAAGAGACTGTCCCCTTCAGCAGGTTGACATGGAAGGGACGTCAGCTTGTGATGTCCTGCCACAATCTAATACTGTAAATTGTTAGAGAGTTTTGAAATGTTTCAGGTGTATCACACAGGTGTAGCATCTCACTGATCAACTGATACAACACATGTCAGAGCTATTTTCATCCGGTGCATGGTTTTGAGTGTACAATCGATGCCAGTTTGGGGACACAGGACACAACAAAATGACATTGATTGAATCAGTACGCTAAAGATGATTGGTGTAACATAAAAAGAATCAATAACTTATGATAGATACTGAATCAAGGATCAGTATTGTGAATCGTTGTGAATTATAGGGCAGTGAATCAATAGACATTTGTAGATACTGAATCTGTATACAATGATATATACTGAATCAATAGATGATTTTAGATACTGAATCAATGGAAAATGATAAGATACTGAAACAGTAGACAATGATAGATACTGAATTAATGGACAATGATAGATATTGAATCAATAGACAATTTGAGACACTGAATCAATAGGCAATGATAGATACTGAATCAGTAGGCAATGATAGATAGGGTTTCAATAGACAATATTAGATACTGAATCAGTAGACAATGATAGATACTGAATCAGTAGACAATGTTAGATATTGAATCAATAGATAATGATAGATACTGAGTCAATAGGCCATGATTAACACTGAATCAGTACACAATGATAGATCCTGAATTTATATGTGTTGATACACACTGAATCAACAGACAATGACAAATGCGAAAGGAAATACATATTATGAATGAAAGAATATTATTTTAACATAGTTATTATGATAACATCATAGCAAAAGTATCATTTTGGTCAATGTATAAGGCTTCAAAGATTACTTGATTATGTCTACAAGTATATAATAAAATGTTTGGCATAAACCCAAATGTAGAACAACACAGTGTTAGCTCTCCAACTGAAGGGTCTTGGTGTAAGTATGGAGGTTACTGCTAGTTTCACAAAGCACTACAATTGTATCACATGTATGGTCACAAGATGCCAGTGAGCACACCATCTTTGATCAGTTTCATCAGTGATTGGCCCGAGACGTGTCTGATGTGGCATTTAAGACGGGATTAAGGAAAACTAATCAAGTCTATATATAGAAAACTAATGAGTTTTTTGTAATCACCTCCATATAGTCTCCAGCCTTATCATTTTCATGGTACTCGTAATCTGATATTTCTTAGATCCGTTTAGATCGGTCAACTAGTTAGAGACTCTGAAACTTACTTTCCGGCTTTATTGTGGCTGTGATTTCGTTAGTTAATCTGTTGTGGCTCAATAGATCTCATAGGCTCAAAGAAAGTAATTATATAGGATATTATATAATGGATTTTACCATAAAAAACGGTAAACTACCAGCAGAGTATTAGCAAAACAGAGTGGGGTTGTGTGGTACAGTAGTTCCAGCTTGTAACCCGAGGGAAGTTGGGTAGCCTAGTGGTTAAAGCGTTCATTCGCCATGTCGATGACCCAGGTTTGATTCCCCACATGGGTACCATGTGTTAAACCCATTTCTGGTGTCTGCCACCATGATATTGTTGGAATATAAAATCGGTGTAAAACCATACTCACACACTCACTCACTCACTCACTCACTCACTGTAAGCCGATAGTTCTGATCCTGAAATCTTCTCCAGTACTGTTTGCATTCAGAGTCTCATACAGTAATTAATCCACTATACAAATATAGCTGAAAAAACTTAATGGTTGTAAATTCAGGCTGTGGTTGACAAAACGCGATAATAAAAATGGATTTACAATCTCTGTCACAAGTTCTGTGTCTTTGTAAGATTTGGGTTTGAATTGGTCATAAGAGATGACTTACATGATGAGGTGCTCAGGCTAGCCGACTTGGTTGGTTTGTGTCAATATACTTACTCACTCACTCACTCACTCACTCACTCACTCACTCACTCACTCACTCACTCACTCACTCACTCACTCACTCACTCACTCACTCACTCACTCACTCACTCACTCAGTTTGAGGGATATACATTTAGGCTCTCACAATTCATTCTGTGATTCACTGCACCTCCCTTCATGAAGTTAATTCATTATTGGCAATCACTAGAATCAATTATTCATGAATGTTTTTGAAAGAATGTCTTAACTTGAACTTTTTAGTGTTTTTTTCAAGGCAAGTTATGCAAAATCAATATATCCAAGCTAGGCAGATAATAGTCAACTCTTGTTTGTATTATATTTGACAGTAAGGTGGTCCTGCACGTCATTGTCATGATAAGGTAACACAATCAACATGGTCAAGACTTGACAAACAATTAGTTGTGTTATTGTTCACAGAATTTAATCAACTGACTGACTGACTGATTTTGGTTTTACGCCGCTTTTAGCAATATTCCAGCAACATCACGGCGGGGGACACCAGAAATGGGCTTCACACATTGTACCTATGTGGGGATTCGAACCCGGGTCTTCGGTGTGACGAGCAAACGCTTTAACCACTAGGCTACCCCACCGCCCCGAATTTAATCAATACACCAGCTGCTATGATGTTATTGTATACATGAGCCAATATTTGCGATATTTATCATATTCACCTCATAGTGGATCTGTAGCAGCCCTGATATATACGGCAGCTTAGTAAAACCCCAAAACTTCATTACAAGAGATTCTGTGTTTTAGTACCATGATTGATTGTGTTTGATCTCGACTGTTATTGTATTTTTAATTTCATCATTATGAATACAGGTTTCATTTGGAAAGCCAATTTTTTGATTGATGATTAATATTTCCTAATTCTGTAGGGTTAGATAGATTAACCAAATGCCAACACTACAAGAACACCGCAAACAAATCTTACTAATTACAAATATTAATATAAATATGATACACTTTATTGCAATTTGAAATAGAAGTTTTTGGTTTCATTATCTTGTTTACTAAATGTGGACAAATATTTAATGAAAGTTCTTGAAAAGCGAACTATGAAAGAAATACTGTTTCCAGAGGTAAGAGCATTTTATTGTCACTTCCCAGGACATTGTAGTCATGACATTTTGAATGTAGATTATGTTATTTTCACAAATATTTTTGTCAAGCAGGTTAAACACTACAAACTGGCATTCAGCCAACTAGTGTGATGAATATGATAGTGGTATTATGACATAAGTTTGTATCAGAAAAATCATTGACACCGTAGTATCTCTGTAGTATTACTGGAGATGAAGACAGCTGTCAGGGAAATCAAGACACTATGTTCAAGTACTGTCCTGTTCCAATAAGACAGTGAGAAATGTGCTTAATGAGACCATTATACGAGACAAAACACTGGACATAATGATCAGTCTTCACATGTTTCTTTTTGCTTTGAGACATATTCATGTGATAGGTTCACTTTAGGGGTAAGTAAATGTAATGTAGCAGCTTTGTAGACTTATTTCTTGAGGCTGTGCTTAATCACAGTGCCAGACCAAAATCAAATTTGAAAAACGGAAATAGCATAAAACAGATGATAGGCTATATTGTCACCAAAATGAAAAATTCTCCCCGGGGGTTAAACCAGTTTCAAGTGTTTGTTGTTCTGTGGAGTTTCAACGATATGGCCGGCGCCAGTCTGCCTGATTTTTTAATGGCATGGTCATGTTTTTTGTCTGCTCATCCATTTGATTACCATGTCCACAACGCAGGCCAAGAATTAGTAGCAACACAGAAGATTCCCCAGTTGTCCTCCCCGGGGAGGTTTCCCCAACAGGCATTCATTGTGCAGGATAGCTCTGATGGCAGCAGGAATTTTATGGTACCCTCTGAGGTTTGCTCTGATGTTGATCTGCTACAATGATGTCTGTACTCTTGTATGTCACTAAAATACTAACTGCAGCCTATATGTGTCGTTAGTTTGTAAGTTTCTTATAAGCCATGAGGTCAGTTGGATCTCAAAATGACTTGGAAGTATTTTTGAAACAAAAACAATAACTTATATCTTCTGGTCTTGTATAGGCCATACATAATTCAGGCTTCCTCCACACTATGCTAACACACTGCCTTCATGAATAGCTAAATATTGTTCAAAATGTGTTAAACCATTCATCTCTCGCACTTTCTTGTGTGTTGGAAGCATGGAAATGTTATCTCCCTTCTGCATTGGATGGAACTCCAAGAACATCTGCAACATATATATCCCTAAAAGGCAATAATAATGATTTATAAATCACAGTGATGTCATCATATTGTTGTCCAGTCAGGTTGAATGTGTTACTGTATTTTAATATTTTAATATGTACATAGGCTAGTGATATTGAAATAGAGATTGTGAATAATCTTGCCAGCGAAAATGTTTGCATTTGAACACAATGTACAGAAAGAGGTTTGCCGAATCATGACTAAATCAAACAAATGTTTTTCTTTATATTTCAGAATCTGCAGAATCTGTAATCAATCACTTAAAAATAATAATTTGACCACCATACAATATCTCGACCAAATGCAGAGTCGACTACTGACTATATTAGAAAAGCTTGATTGTTCATTATGCAATTATTCATTGTTGTATCCATCCAGACTGTATTACGTGCCATGTAATATCAATAACTACTAATAAAACATCAACTGCCCTCAGACACCAAACCACCAGTAATCCATACAAATTTATTCATTTAACAACTTTCTTCTCTCATCATATCTAATGAAAATCTGATCTCTTGACATCGACAAATCAGTTCAGGAACCTAAAACCTCATAATTTCCGGACCAAATGAAAAACCTTTCAATTTTTTTCACGGAAACTCCTATCTCGCCTCGTAATGCCAGCCAGATTCCTTATGGAACAGTCTGGAAGCCGAGTCTTGTATGTTTATCAAAGGAGATATGAGAGATGTAGGGATGAAAGAGGTAACACAAGAAAGTATGATCCTTGTCTAGACAGCTGGACATAATAATGTAATGTTTTATGGCCAGGAATTAATTAATCCTCCTACGTTGGCTATATCTTGTGTTCTTGTGCTTTGCATGGCTGTAGAGGATCCTCACGGTGACCAGGCCCTGATGATGACAAGGAAGATGTATGACCGTGTCGGAGGATTTGACCCTGTCTTCCTGATGGAAGACTACATGCTTGTGAGTGGTGGGCACGGTGGGGGTATATTAGAAGCTTTGTTGTAATATGGCAAAGCCCAGTAAAGTGAGTGAGTGAGTGAGTTTAGTTTTACGCCACACCCACCAATATTCCAGCTATATGGCGGTGGTCTGTAAATAATCGAGTCTTGACCAGACAATCCAGTGATCAACATCATGAGCATCTTGACCAGACAATCCAGTGATCAACATCATTGAGTCATCGAGCCTGACCACCCAATCCCGGTGTGGTTGCTGGTTCTAACCCAACCCGACACCTCTTATGACAAGCATTGGTTGCTGGTTCTAACCCAATCCCGTTAGTCACCTCTTATGACAAGCATTGGTTGCTGGTTCTAACCCAATCCCGTTAGTCACCTCTTATGACAAGCATTGGTTGCTGGTTCTAACCCAATCTTCGTTAGTCAGCTCTGTGAAGCAATATGTTGGAATGTTTTCACTCAGATGCTGACACCCTAAATTTAGCTTCTAGTTTTATAAAATGAGAAAAATAAGCTGACAGGGTAAGATGGCTGACTTTGTGTGTTGGTGATGTCATGCCTGGCTCTGTGTTGGTTTGAATCATGGATGAGGCTCAACCTCAAAAACTACTAGAATCTGTTGTTTACTGAGAAAGCGTAATCCCAAGTAATTCATGTAAGTTGTAATTGTATGGTTTCTGGTTACATTAATAAGGATATTTATAAAGTGCTAGTTTCACTTCGCTGAGGGGCAAGTTCAAGTTCCTAAAGAACTATTTTCACATATGCATATTGTACTGTAGGAACTAGGGATGAACATTTGACCCTGCTATTTGACTGGTTGCAAGACTTGGATGGAAATTAGCACTAGCCCACTAGCCCTGACGTATGATAAGCTAGTGGTCTCCTGGGGTCTCGTTGAACTTCACACATTTGAGGGGGTATATGTTATCCCCCTTGGGTCAGTAGAGGTTCTTGGCTAATTTCTATCCATGTGAGTGGCACAGAATTGGATTGAGTTGTCTTGTTTGGTGGTTTGGTGTGTTACATGTCATCATACCAACACTACACTTGACATAGCTCATCCATCACAAGTTTGCCCTGACTTGATCTTTAACAGGGTATGTGTGTGTGTGTGTGAGAGAGAGAGAGAGAGTGAGTGAGTGTGTATTGTAGCTGGAATATTTACACAAACACATAACCACAGAACAAACATTACAACACACAGCCTGTTGATGTATAAAACCTGTTTTGCTGTGGTGACATAATGTGTTACTGTCATGGTTGTATTGCTGTCATGGTTGTATTGCTGTCATGGGTTGTATGCTGTCATGGGTTGTATTGCTGTCATGGGTTGTATTGCTGTCATGGGTTGTATTGCTGGTTGTATTGCTGTCATGGGTTGTATTGCTGTCATGGGTTGTATTGCTGGTCATGGTTATTGCTGTCATGGGTTGTATTGCTGTCATGGGTTGTATTGCTGTCATGGGTTGTATTGCTGTCATGGGTTGTATTGCTGTCATGGGTTGTATTGCTGTCATGGTTGGTATTGCTGTCATGGGTTGTATTGCTGGCATGGGTATTGCTGTTGTCTGTCATGGGTTGTATTGCTGTCATGGGTTGTATTGCTGTCATGGGTTGTATTGCTGTCATGGTTGTATTGCTGTCATGGGTTGTATTGCTGTCATGGTTGGTATTGCAGTCATGGGTTGTATTGCTGGTTGTATCGTTGTCATGGTTGTATTGCTGTCATGGGTTGTATTGCTGTCATGATTTGTGTTACTGTCATGGGTTGTATTGCTGTGATGGTTTGTATTGCTGTCATGGGTTGTATTGCTGGTTGTATTGCTGTCATGGTTGTATTGCTGTCATGGGTTGTATTGCTGGTTGTATTGCTGTCATGGTTTGTGTTGGTGTCATGGTTTGTGTTACTACGATGATTTGTTTTGGTGTCATAGTTTGTGTTACTACAATGTCTTGTGTCACTGTGATGCATTTGCATGTTACTATGATGAATAGTGTTACTGTTGTGTTTTATTGTGTCATGGTTAATATTTCTGTGTGTCCCCTGCTTTGTGATGTTGCTGGAATATTGCTAAAGCGGCGTTAAACCAAACACAGTCAGTCAGTGTTGTATTTTGTGTTATGGTGATAACTTGTTGTGTTACTGTGTTTGCTTGTTTTGTTGTGATGATTTGTGTTACTGTGATGGCTTGTGTTACTGTGATGGCTTGCGGGGCTGTTGTGATGACTTGGCATGTTACTGTGATCGTTGGTTCTGTTCCTGTGATGGCTTGTGTTATTGTGATGGCTTGTGTTACTGTGATGGCTTGTGTTATTGTGAAGGCTTGTGTTCCTGTGATGGCTTGTGTTATTGTGAAGGCTTGTGTTCCTGTGATGGCTTGTGTTCCTGTGATGGCTGGTGTTCCTGTGATGGCTGGTGTTCCTGTGATGGCTGGTGTTACTGTGATGGCTTGTGTTCCTGTGGGTTGGATGGCTGGTGTTATTGCTGTCATGGCTTAGTGTTACTGTGAGGGCTGGTGGTCCTGTGATGGCTTGTGTTACTGTGAGGGCTTGTGTTCCTGTGATGGCTTGTGTTATTGTGAAGGCTTGTGTCTACTGTGATGGCTTGTGTATTGTGATGGCTTGTGTTGCTGTGATGGCTGGTGTTATTGTGATGGCTTGTGTGTATTGTGAGGGCTTGTGTATCCTGTGATGGCTTGTGTTATTGCGATGGTTTGTGTTATTGCATTCATGACTTTGTATTGCTGTGATGGCTTGTGTTGCTGTCATGGGTTGTATTGCTTATGTTTGCTGTGTGATGGCTTGTGTTACTGTGATGGCATGTGTTACTGTGATGGCATGTGTTATTGTGATGGCTTTGTGTTATTGTGATGGCTTGTGTTATTGGCCTGTGATGACTTGTGTTATTGTGATGATGGCTTGTGTTATTGTAATGGCTTATGTTCCTGTGATGGCTTGTGTTATTGTAATGGCTTATGTTACTGTGATGGCATGTGTTACTGTGATGGCATGTGTTACTGTGATGGCATGTGTTTACTGTGATGATGGCATGTGTTATTGTGATGACTTGTGTTACTGTGATGGCTTGTGTTATTGTAATGGCTTATGTTCCTGTGATGGCTTGTGTTATTGTGATGGCTTATGTTCCTGTGATGGCTTGTGTTATTGTAATGGCTTGTGTTACTGTGATGGCTTGTGTTACTGTGATGGCATGTGTTACTGTGATGGCATGTGTTTCCTGTGATGGCTTGTGTTACTGTGATGGCATGTGTTACTGTGATGGCTTGTGTTCCTGTGATGGCTTGTGTTATTTTGATGGCTGGTGTTACTGTGATGGCTTGTGTTATTGTAATGGCTGGTGTTGGCATGTGTTACTGTGATGGCTGGTGTTCCTGTGATGGCTTGTGTTACTGTGATGGCTTGTGTTACTGTGATGGCTTGTGTTACTGTGATGGCTTGTGTTATTGTTGATGGCTTGTGTTCCTGTGATGGCTTGTGTTCCTGTGATGGCTGAGTGTTATTGTGATGGCTTGTGTTCCTGTGATGGCTTGTTATTGTGATGGCTGGTGTTGGCTGTGATGGCTTGTGTTCCTGTGATGGCTGGTGTTCCTGTGATGGCTTGTGTTCCTGTGATGGCTGGTGTTATTGTGATGGCTTGTGTTACTGTGATGGCTTGTGTTATTGTGATGGCTTGTGTTACTGTGATGGCTTGTGTTCCTGTGATGGCTTGTGTTCCTGTGATGGCTTGTGTTACTGTGATGGCTTGTGTTCCTGTTATGGCTTGTGTTCCTGTGATGGCTTGTTTTCCTATGATGGCTTGTGTTACTGTGAGGGCTTGTGTTACTGTGATGGCTTGTGGGGCTATTTTGGTGACTTGGCATGTTACTGTGTTGGTTGGTTCTGTTCCTGTGATAACTTGTGTTTATGATGGCCTTTTGTGTTGCAATGACTTGATGTGTTTAGTCATGGTTTGTTGTTTGTTTGTGCAGGTTAGGAAGCTACACAAGATGGGCCATGTTGTTACACTGCCACAGTCAGTCATCACGTCATCACGCAGATTTGAAACCAAAGGTGTCTTCAAGGTGAGAGAGGCTTCTGAAAAATGATTAAAGAGATATTTAAACCTGTTGTTGCCTTCACTGAGAACATTTGGGAGCTGTATTTCTGTGTATTTGCAGACGATGTTAATAAACAGATCGGTGATCATGCTGTACACTCTGGGTGTGGAACCAAACACTCTGGCACAGCTTTACTATGGGAGGAAGTTGAAGAAGGAGTGATGGAACTGCTGGTACTGGTCATATGTTACAGGTGTAGGTCCGACAGACAGAGTGAAGGTAGCATAGACGGGGTTTAGAGAGTTGAGGGAAAATGGGTGGGACGGAGAGAGTCGAGGGAAAATGGGTGGGATGGAGAGAGTCGAGGGAAAATGGGTGGGACGGAGAGAGTCAAGGGAAAATGGGTGGGACGGAGAGAGTCGAGGGAAAATGGGTGGGACGGAGAGAGTTGAGGGAAAATGGGTGGGTCAGAGAGTAGGTAGTATGGATCGGTGACTGGGAGTGAAGGTAGCATAGTCAGTCTGGAGAAAGTTAATGGGAAGATGAGACTTCAGTTAGGATAGATGGGATGGAGAGAGTTGAGGGAAGAAGGATGGGTTGGAGACCATCAAGAGAATGAGGGTTCTGAAAGAACCATAGGAGGGTCTCGAAATCTGTCCTCAGAATACGCTAGCATAATCGTATGACAGGTCTTCAAGAAGAACTTGACTCTGTGTTTGAATGATAACAGACCTATGTGGAAATTCAGTGTCATAGGGAGGGCTTGGATGAAAAGATGTGCACCCCATGTCTGACTGTCTTCACTCTGTCTCACTCAGTTCCTGTGTCTATAACTGTCACAGGCTGTGGAGTGTATCAGGAGAAACAACGTGTATTTGATGTAATGAATATAGTATATTGTTTCCATATATGAGCTCTTTCAGGGACATGTGTTGAGCTCGACACTACAGCTGGTCTCAGGTGCAGATTATCTGCTTTTTGTTGTACAAATTGTCATATGGTGTCATATATATATTGACGATGTCATTTACACAGTGATGTCATGGAAGAGGTGATGTCATCTAGACTGGGATGTCATGGTGGATGATGTCATTCCCACTGTAACCCATGAAGGTCCGGGTTAGAAAATTGATCTTCAGTAACCCATGCTTGTCGTAAGAGGCGACTAACAGGATCCATTGGTCAGGCTCGTTGACTTAGTTGAAACATGTCATCGTATCCGTTGCGTAGATTGATGCTCATGTTGTTGATCACTGGATTGTCTGGTCCAGACTCGATTATTTACAGACTGCTACCATATATAGCTGGAATATTGCTGAGTGCTGCATTAACAACAAACCAACCATTCCCACTGTGATGCTGTCGGATAAACCAGGTTTACTGCCTTAGCCTTTTGATTAATCAATCTGGTGAGGATTTCAATTTTATACTTAAGATAGTGGTACGTATGCAAACACTTACAATTTAAGCTTAGGGCTGCGGTATTTATATGTCATGGTTTCTGTTTGTGCAAGCACTTTAAATTAGGTATAGAGAGCGTATGTAAGTGCAAGCAATTTAATTAGGTTTAGAGAGTGTATGTTTGTGTGAGCACTTTTAATTAGGTTTAGAGAGTGGATATTTGTGCAAGCACTATTAATTAGGTTTAGAGAATGTATGTTTGTGCAAGCACTTTTAATTAGGTTTAAAGAGTAGATGTTTGTGGAAGCACTTTAAACTAGTTGTAGAGAGTGTATGTTTGTGCAAGCACTTTAAATTAGGTGTAGAGGGTGTAAGTGCAAGTACTTTTAATTAGGTTTAGAGAGCATATGTTTGTGCAAGTAGTTTTAATTAGGTTTAGTGAGTGGGTGTTTGTGCAAGCAGTTTAAATTAGGTGTAGAGGGTGTGTGTAAGTGCAAGCATTTTTGATAAGGTTTAGAGAGTGGATGTTTGTGCAAGCATTTTAAATTAGGTGTAGAGGGTGTAAGAGCAAGCACTTTTAATTAGATTTAGAAAGTGATGTTTGTGCAAGCATTTTAAATTAGGCTTAGAGGGTGTATTTCAATCTTAGGCGTTGGATATTTATGTGAACATTCCCATAGGTGTTTGATTTTTACACAGCAGTGTGGAATGGGTATACAATTGCTCAGTAATATCTATTGAAAACGTTTATAGTTTAAACTAAGTCGATTCTCTAGGTGTTGATGTCTGAAAGCAAACTTAACTCATTGTGTTTTCTTTAAAGCATCCCACTTAATCAATTGCCTGGGGTGTTTATTATGGCAAATACAGTTTGAGAATTTAACTTCTTCACTGTTCAGGGCAGTTGTGTAGCCTAGTGGTTAAAGAATTTACTTGTCACACCGAAGATCAGGGTTCGATTCCCCACATGGGTACAATGTATGAAGCCTATTTCTGGTGTCCCCTGCCATGATATTGCTGGAATATTGTTAAAAGTGCCGGAAAAAGGGATCGAAACCCAGGTCTTTGGCGTGACGAGTGAACGCTTTAACCACTAGGCTATCCCACTGCTTCCTTGACAAATTAAATGTTTGCATATTCAATCAATTTTAGTGAATTTTTTAAAATTATGATTAAACATGATTTGAATGACAATAGGAGATAGATATTTGTAAAATCATCAGTTGATAGTGAAAATGTAAAAGTCAGTACATCACTTGAAAGTGAAATGGTTAATAAGATAAATAAGTGACAGAAAGCCAGGTCAAATCTCAGTTAATCTTAACCATCTGATGGTTATTATGAATATTATCATTGATGAATGACTGCTTGACATGCTGTCTGCACACACTGTTGTTACCGTTGTTATGGTGATCCTCATGACAGATGAATGAGTTATTTAGTATTTACTCACTGTTGTTGCCATGGTTACAGGGATATTGATTGAAGAATGTGTGAGTACTTGTTATTACTGCAAAAATGGTTATTGCCATGCTTATATATAAATATGATTGATGAATGAGTACTTGTTATTACTGCAATCATAGTTATTGCCATGCTTTTATATAAATATGATTGATGAATGGGTACTTGTTATTACTGAAATCATAGTTATTGCTATGCTTTTATATAAATATGATTGATGAATGGGTACTTGTTATTACTGCAATCATAGTTATTGCTATGCTTTTATATAAATATGATTGATGAATGGGTACTTGTTATTACTGAAATCATAGTTATTGCCATGCTTTTATATAAATATGATTGATGAATGGGTACTTGTTATTACTGCAATCATAGTTATTGCCATGCTTTTATATAAATAATTGATAATGGGTACTTGATTGATGAATGCTTTTATATAAATATGATTGATGAATGGGTACTTGTTATTACTGCAATCATAGTTATTGCCATGCTTTTATATAAATATGATTGATGAATGGGTACTTGTTATTACTGCAATCATAGTTATTGCAATGCTTTTATATAAATATGACATTCAACCTAGATAACATGAGTCATAAATTACTGATTCTATTCATGGATTAAATACTTGTAAATCGCTTTGAAATGAAAATGCATGTATGTTTGTAACCTCAAAATAAAGTTGGGTTTGGCACATTGGTGCATGTGGCATCAAGGCATGTTTCAGGAAACTATACCAAGCCGCAGTACCGTATATGACTAAAAGGCTACTGATCTTCATTATGTAGAATTATGTGTGTTATACTTAATGTATATTTATGTCCATATACTTATATAGTCCACAATAAGAGGCAATACGTTTTTTAAGTTCAGCATTATTCAGATTACACCAACAGTTCTCCCTAGTGTGAATTAGGACTTTTAACATTTGTTGTAAGATACGCACAAGTAATTAACATGTCCATCGCAAAGTCCAGTCAGTGTGGACATAATGTCGTATGAAGGATGTCAGACTATAATATGTGTAGTCATTGTAAAAAGCATTTCTGTGATTTGTTCTGAAGAAGAATAATTTTTGCCAAAGAAATAGATAGCATATGATGTGTATCGAGTTGTATAGTTGCAGATAAGGCCAAAATGTTATGAAGTTGGTTTATGGTGCAGACCACCCAAAATACCTCAGAAAACTCACAGAATTGTGTCTTATTGTTTTGTGATTTGATGAAATGTTAAAACCATGAGATTTTGTTACTGTTGTTCATGAGAAATGGTAAATGGTAAACTTGTGAAAATCAATATTCCAGCTATAAAACCCAACAATTATCTTTTGTATTGTTAGAAATCAGACAGACAGACAGAAGTTTATTTGTATAAGTGGCCCTGAGGCAAATAGTACATGTGTAAAATGTTAACAGGTAATTTCTGTGCAACCTGCAAAATTGCGAATTATAGGGACATTGATAAATCAGTAGATACCTATTAACAATTTAAATTGTTTCTCAACTTAAATATGTGGTACAACACAAGGACTACCTTAAACAATAAGACAGACAGACAGACAGACAGAGTCAACATTTTCTGTCTGAAGTAGCATTCAGAATTTATGTCTTGATGGCTGGTTGTAGAAAAAGTAAGGCATATATTTTAGAAATCAGGTTTTTCTTTCATTAGAGCAGTACTTATCCAGGAGTTAAATTTAAAAAAAGAAATCAACCTCCCACATTGAGCTTGAAAATGAAAGGCCCAGGTCTTGCCGTTTCTCCATTAGTCAAAAAAATAAAGAAATCAACTTCCGACATAGACCTTTCAGCCCAAAGTTTTGTAAGACAGCCAGTGAAAAAGAAAAGGCTAAAGTCATCCCCATTCTTCATAAGTATGGGAATAGCTTAAATTATTGAACCACAATACGTCAGTACAAGATTATTCAATCAATGTAGAAGTAATATTGAACTTCAGATGTCAGGTCTACCATATACAAGAAGTCAGGATGAAAAAGGTGTTTGTGGAAAAAATGGGGTAAAAAAAGCCGAATGAGATGTTCCTAATTTAGAAAGAAAGCTATTTATTCCCAGTATTGGTTCAAAGTTATCACAGAGGTCTTATCTGCTCTTATTGATGTTTTGTGTTTGGGGTCTGAAGTAGATGGCATGGCACTGACGTCCAGCCGCCACCATGAGGATTTAGAATGACATTGGTCTCAATTCCCACTGCGTAGGAATCAGGATGTGTCACAAGCTGTTTTTTTTTATCAAAGATGGAAATCTAATTTGAGTTTTACATCAAACTGTCGTTGAAAACGTTAAAAAAATTAATGTTAATCCAGTCACCTAATGATCCTCCGTTGTGAGCTGACCTGAAGAAGCTGGTCAGAGAGTTTGAAAACAAATGAATAAAACTGTTTGTCTGATCTTAAAACCCACTTTTTGTTTTGTGTGTTTCTGCATATACATTCTACCATCATGTGCAATAGTCCAATGCGGATTGTCAGAA